GTACGCAGAAGTGTTCTCATTTGATTTTGTTAAGATTAATATTTTCAGCCCATCGTTTTTTTACATATGCCACCTTTGTACGAACTTTATTAGATGGTAAATCTCTCCCCTCATTGGATTCAAATTCTTTTAAACTAATTTTTGCATACAAGCTAGGCCGAGCTGATACAAATGAAAAGACTTGAAATTGGCATATGCCACAGCCCACAAGCAACAAAATATCTGCCGCAGTGGGTTCTTTTCATGTTAGAGAGCTGCATACAGAAGAGCGCGAACCACATATTCCTCCCTGTTTTTTTTTTACTTCAATTATTGATTATCTTTTTCCAGGGTGATTTCATTTGTTTTCTTCTCCCACTGATCAAGCCCAGGGACAAGGTGCTGCCACTTCCCACCATTTTAAAAGCCGAAGCAGAGAGCTCTGCTACCCCCATTCACGATTAAGCTTCAGATTCAACAGCAGCAGTCGAAACAGAGAGACTGAGAGAGTATATTAACTTATACATTCCTTCAGCTCTCTCCTTGTTCCTTTTCCTCATTTCCCCTGATAAGAACCCATTTCTTCCTGTCTGCAACTTTACCCACACTCTAAAAGGCACCAACTTTTCTAAAACCCAGCTCCCATTTCTCGAGCTCCTCTGTTTTTTGTATTCTGCAATTTAGCTCCTCTCTGTTTTTGGGGGCTGGTTGTTGATTCCTCGTCTTGAACGAAGCTGTTTGCAACAAGAGGGGAACAAAAAGGGACGGTGAGCTCTATGGGGATGCCAAATTTTTTGATGCAGACGGTGTAAGGAAACCCTAGGGATTTCTTGTTATTTTCTTGTCTGTATTCCAAGCCAGCAGATCCTTTTATCCACCAAAAAAACGAGGAAAAGAAAACCATTGGTACCCATATCGACGGCTATTGTTGGGAATCTTTTGAAAGAAAAAGAGGAGAGAAAGAGGGGGAAAAAAATGGACTTGAACTTGAAGTCATTTGATGCCAAATTATTAATGGGTGCTTCGTCTGAGTTAGCTCCAAGAAGAACCGGACATTCCGCCACCATTTCTTCTGGCGTTAGATTCTCCTCCTCCATCGTCATTTCCAGTCGCAGAGGTACTCTGTTAATTAACTCTCCCCTTTTGAAAAAATCTCAATTGCTGGAGTTACTGAAGTGAATCGGTGGCAGGAAGTACTATTGTCGGTTCGGCTGGGTGGGAAGAAATGGCGACGACGGCGCCGCGGAGCTACTTCTTCGACATGAGGGATGTTTCGAGGAGTGTGTTCAAGAAGAGTGACGAAGTTCTTGTTGCTTGTGATGACGAGTATGGAGGAGTTGTTGTTGATCCAGACTTGCTTCCGGCCAACCAGGACGTTTTCGCCTCTTTGCTCCATTCGTCGCTCTCTCATTGGAAACTCAAGGTAGCTTGATTTTGATCGTTTATTAGCCGTTTTCCGTGTCAAGCTAGTGGTAGGAATTGGTATGATGATCTCAGACTGATTAACGTTAACACTTAAACAGTGGATATCTAATAGACGGAATTGGATAGGCTTTCGTTTGAAGAAATGTGTAGGAAGAAATGAATGACATTTCAGTCTGGTCATTTTCCACTAAATGCTTAATGTGAGACTGTGAAATCGTATCATACCAGCTTGTTTGATGGTTGAACCACATATCGAAAACCAGAGCGGTATGAATTGTGCTGGTATTTATAAAGTTATAACAGTTCTAGTCTCGCCGGTTAAACCTCGGATATGGTTTCATCATTGGACTATGGCACATTTCTTTTCATGGTTTTTGTTCAGGGTGTCTCACATTTGATCTGCAATGTAAAACTGCAGGGGAAGAAGGGGATTTGGCTGAAATTACCGCTTGAAAGATCTCAACTTGTTCCAATCGCCGTACAGGTAATTTGGTACAAGGCATGTAGCATATATAAAATACTTGTTTTGAACCAAGTTGACGGAAGGAATAAACCTAATAGGTGTCTTAGCAGAAAGAGACTAGTGAATGTGGATACTAATGAATTTAATATTTGGACAGGAGGGTTTCGAGTACCACCATGCAGAGCCAGGATATGTGATGCTGACTTACTGGATTCCTCAACGACCTTCCATGCTGCCAGCCAATGCTTCTCACCATGTAGGAGTTGGAGGATTCGTCGTCAACGAGAACAACGAGGTACCATTCCTATGTGGTTACCAGGATTTGAATAGTAGATATCACAAATCACCATCGATAACAAATCTGATTTCGTATTAAGAACTAGTCCACCTTCCAATAACCCTGAGTTGTACTGATATCAGTGTTTTGTTTTTTTGCATTCTGATGAGCATTGCTCCATACCAGTCTTGTCCTTTGTGTTTGGCTAAATCTATGTGATCAATACTTCTCAAGACCTTCACATATGGTGGTGAGTTTGCAGATTCTTGTGGTGCAAGAGAAGTTCTGTACCCCGTCCTTTTCAGGAGTTTGGAAGATACCAACTGGCTTCATTCACGAGGTAACAATCACTCTGTCCTTTTTCTAGGACTTCTGAACTAAGTTTTAAAAGAACAACCACATCAACCTATTTTGATCTTACTCCAAATCTGGTTTTATCTAATCTCAGGCGGAGGAGATTTACTCAGGAGCAGTAAGAGAAGTCAAGGAAGAAACTGGGGTAATGCCAAGAAGCCTTTCCCAATTCAATAACCCATTTTTATCACCTTCCTTCTGTAGCCTGAAAGAGAATTGCATTGCTTGTGATAATCCATTATTTGATTTCCAAGAATGTCTCTTCCTTTGGTTTATGTTTCTGCAGATCGACACAGCGTTTGTGGAAGTGATGGCATTCAGGTACCAAAACTCTATGCTATTATTAACATGCTCAAGTGAACCAACTTCATGGACATTGACATTGAGATGTGCCTGGTGATCTTCAACCTTCATGATGACTCCCAAATTTGCAGGCATGCTCATAACTTGGCATTCCAGAAATCCGATCTCTTCTTCGTGTGCATGCTGGAACCCTTATCATCTCAGATCAGCATAGATGATGACGAGATTCAAGCAGCCAGAGTGAGTACTTAACCAAATCCGCAAATCCACTTTCTCAAACTCTTCACTACATCATTTCTAACCCTGAAATTTGCAGTGGATGCCTCTCGAGGACTATTTGGCGCAGCCACTCATCAATGGAGATATAATGTTCAAGAAGATCCTCGACATCTGCATCGCTCGATTGGGGAAGCGATACTGTGGACTCACTGCCCATCAAGTCGTCTCCACGTTCGACGACAGGCAATCTTGCCTCTACTACAATGTCGTCGACATCCAGAATGGAAATGACAACTGCATAGGCCATTGAAAGAAAAAATGCATGCAGCCATCGTATGGTCCTTATCTTATCTTACATTAATTACATTGTTGTTTAATTAACCAATGCTATATAAGGTAAATCTAACGACGATTTATGTTGTAAATTGAGTAACTGGGTTGTGTTTGTCACATATGGGAGAAGAAAAACCATGCTCTGAGGCAAGGTGTACATAACTTTGTGATGGAATAATGAGCTTGGCACTTGGCAGTTTGCGTCTTATTTTTCACTATTTGTATAGCCATCAAAGTTCAAACCTGATGTTTTTAGGATTGCTGACGAAACCATGTTTCTGTTGTGTAAACAAATTCGTTCCTATCTATACTATTAGTGAAAAAGCAATGTCCATCTATACATAAATATATTTGTGGCTGATATTTCACTCTACATGACTTATTTTTAATAATCCGATTAGATCAGATTAACCGTAACACTAATTTCATGGTACCACTGTATAAGCTTCAAAAATGGCTAGGCCTAGACGTAAGGCGTTGGACTCCTGTCTAGTGCCTAGCTCACTTTAAACATCACCTAAGTGTTCATAGAAAATTATAAACACTCAAGTTTTAACATAACAAGTAACAAGCCATTAGTGATTATTTGTCCATTTTTATTTGAGGCATGGAGAAAGCTCTAATTAAAGAAGATTTTGGTATCTTTGTATCTAAGTCCCCACCCAAAGCGATCGATGGAGGAAGAGAGACGACGACTGTTGATTTTCTGCGAGTAACGAGTTCTAATTATAACCTAGCTAGCATTTCATGAGGGGGAGAGATGGAAAATTGTATCATTGATAGGGTTGTTAATGAACCGAGCCGTTCATGAACAACTCGACGTTAGATTTGAGAAAACCTCGCTCGATACTCGTTTCGTCTTAATCGAGCCAGCTTACGGACAACTTCGTTAACTAAACGAGTCAAACTCTAGCCATACCATGTTTAGCTCGGAAGCTCGCGAACAAGCTTATTTAACGGTTTGACATAATAACGAATTGAAATTCATAGACTTTATGTATAGAAATTGAGAAAAATATTGTGTTTTATTTTGCTCGACTTTGCTACAGGTTTGAATGTAATTTTTGTGCTAAGTTCTAGCTCAATCTATCATGAACATTTTATGAGTTGAACTTGATTTTGGACTTGTTAAACTTATTTAGCGAGCCGAGTTCGAGTCGAGCCGAGTTCGAGTCGAGCTCGAATTTGCATATTAAAGCTCATTACGAACTGGAGCTGAGCTTGAGCTTGAAAATATCTTAACGAGTCGAGCCCGAACTATGACCAAGTTCGACACGGTCCTGATCATTAACAGTCCTAATCATTGATGATTATTGAGCGAACGCCTAGCCATAATTCAGCTTGTCTAGGAGACCGCTTAGTCTCCATCTGCTGCTTAGACGCGATTAATCATAATTAAACACGCCTAACAATTTATCTAACACTTATATCTAAGACGAAGCGTTCTTCCACCACTTAGCGTTTAATTAAGCCTAGACGCACTTTCTTGAACCTTGCTGCTATATCATTTACTTTAATCAAAAGGTGATTGACCAAATATTTAAAAATATGAAATCACTGGATGGATGAATAAGCAAATAACTAATTTTAATGGACTGAAACGTCAATAGAGGTCGAGCATGAGGGCTGATTTGCACTTAACCGTATTTTCCTAATGATTGAAGCATTGGAAAGTGTATAATCCATTGGATCTTTCGTCGTCGACGCCATTTGTCTGACATCTCTGCAAAAAGTGCCAGCAATTTCTTTCGTTTCAATTTCCTCTGTCCTCGCCGTCTCCGATCCCAAAACCTGTAACCATCCTTCTGTCCGGCGAGCCAGGTTTCTGAACAAAAGGAGATAAAAGAGAAGAGGAATTCTCCGGCTGTCTCCTTTTTCATCGCTCTTTCTGGAATCATTTGCAATTTTACTTTCCCCGGCTTTCCACATCGCCAACAAGCTCCGATCGGCTGCAGGAGCCGGCGGTTGTTTTGGGGTCTTCCGGCAATATTGAATTTCCTTCGTATCGTCCATTTGGAGGGAAGGAAATGAATCCGGATGTAAGATTTGTTTTCTGAATTTCAGTCATTTCTGGTTCGGAACTATTGAATTAGGTTATGGATATTCACTATCGTCGGCTTTTTTCCTATAGGGTTTTTGTTGCTAGCAGATATGGTTATATAGAATTGTAAAAGGAGGCGGAGGCGGAGGACTTTTTGGGAGAGAATTGTTTTCCACGGGGGATTGTAAACGATGCATTTCTTCCCTTTCAGCTCAAGCTCTAACAATGATGGCGGGAGTCGTATTCCGGTATATCTGAATGTGTATGATCTTACCACTGTAAATAACTACCTCTATTGGTTCGGGCTTGGGATCTTCCATTCGGGTATCGAAGGTAGCCCTTCTTCAGTTCCTGGTTTAGCTGTACTAGTTGTGTTTGTTCCCGCCATGAATTTTCTCATTTTGCCATATTTTGATCATTTTTTAGAACCATGGTGAAAGTTTGACACTTTTATCCTTGTAAACTTCTATTCTGTAGTTAAGTGAATCATCTGAGAAGGAGTGAATTGCTTTTTTTCTTATGAAAAGAATGGAGTGAATCTCAAGGGTTAGCATTTAAATCTTCACTAGGTTATCTTAGGCATGAATTCGACTGTTTCTCATGTTCACAGATGAGTGTCGTTATGTGAAATTGACTTAAGAGAAGGAAACTTCAGTGAGGGGCTAACATTCATAGGAAACTTTAGTGTCTATCAAAAGAGGAATCAAATCAGGGAAGTCCATCCTTAAATTAGCAAGTAATTCCCTTGTGCTGAATGTCTAGGACTGTCCAAGTGTCAAAAGACTAGAATGTGAGTTGATTTGTTTCTTAGGTGGGCGGGCAATGAGTTACCATTCTTAAATTCTTTATGCAACTTAGGCTATGAGGAGCCATAATGCAAGGATAAGATGCGTAGACTACTTACTATGTTAGATGCTAGTTTTAGAAAACAATTTATGAAGCACCAAAACTTTCAAATGTTTTAACGCTATTGCAATGTTATAACTTATGTGGCACATGAATGAGTAAATCATTTATTATCTGGACAAATACATGGTTTAGTGTTGATGCTTGTCTCTCTTCAGTATACTTTATGTCTGATATAATAGAGTGATTTAATTTTAGAATTGGTGATAATTGCTGTTTTGAATGTATTGGTTGTCTGATTTTCTTTAGCTTGTTTTCAGCCTTTGCTTTGGGGATTTACCCTGCTATCCTATCCTGCGATAGCCTTGATCTCCTTGCTTCTGTCTGCATCTTGTTTTTTCCCCTCGCCCTGCTCCCTACTTGTTAGCTGATAGTTTGCAAGTTGCCTGTTGGGAGAGTTTGTATTTGTTCTTGTGTTTGTTTGTCCCTTTCTTTCTCGATTATGAAAATGATATCACCATTACCACAAAAAAAGGATCTTGCATAGATGGCAGTTACAATCAGGAATCGGAAATGTTACTATGCTATGCATTTAAGTAAATTACTTCAAATCTTACTGATTATGGTGTCTATAATGTGTTTTGACAATTTCAATTGGATTCGATAATCAGTCCATGGGATGGAGTTTAGTTTTGGAGCACATGAGTACCCTAGCAGTGGGATATTTGAGGTGGAACCACGAAGTTGTCCAGGCTTCATCTTTCGACGAGCAGTGTTGCTGGGCAACACCAGCTTGTCACGGGAAGAAGTTCAGGCATTAATGGAACACCTTTCATCAGACTACCATGGTGATTGTTATCATTTGATTGCCAAGAATTGCAATCACTTCACAAGTGAAGCGTGCGTGAGATTAACTGGAAAGCCAATTCCAGGATGGATAAATCGGATGGCTCGGTTAGGTAATGCCGTTTTGTATGAGCTTGAGCATTATCTGGAAGTTTTATTTATCCCTTTTGTTATTTCATAGCTGTTGAACCTCATATTGAATGGGTGGCGCAGCCTACATCTGAAAGCAGAATAATTTTTTTTTAGCGAATTGGCATAAGGCATAGCTGTTGCAAGTTTTCAGCTTCTTGTTTGTCTTGCAATTCACGAGCTACTAGCATTTTAATTATCTGATTAGAACTTTATGTTTCCCGGTTTCAGGTTCCTTCTGCAATTGTCTACTGCCAGAGAGCATTAAGGTAGCACCAGTTCGACATGTACCTGAACACGCCGGATATTCTGGTTAGTATTTGTTCTTAAAGAATGTGTGGTTTTCATTGATCCTAACTCAATTGTTGTGGCAATTAGACTTTGATAAATTGCCTTTTTCATTCCTCACTCCACCCCGAAATTCTTCAATGCCTACTTACTAACTGTGAATACCCGAACACACACAGATGATGACGCCTCAGGATCTATCATATCATCCGCTTCATTGGCCAGCGACGAAGAGAATTCAAATCACCATCTGCTGCCCATACCCAATGGCGAGGTTGAATTTATAAAGGAAAAAGAAAAACCAATCAGGCTAGCCAAAGATATACTGTAGAAGATGTTTTCTTGTGAGATATCTATTATTTTTTCTCCCTGTGCCTTCTCTTTCACATCTAGCATTGTGTGCTGATTGCATCGCCTTTTCGCTCGAGACTTCTGTGATGCATCATTTTTCTGATTGTTTGTTGTGTTCATGTATTGCTTATTTCACTCTTTGAGAGCTGACAAGTATGGATCCTCATGTATGCCGCTGGATGTATATAACCAAACCTCCTTTTTCTTTTCTGTTGCTGATAGGTTTCTGTGAGATGTAGAGAAACTTAAAGACTCTTTGTTCCCACTCTTGTTTGGTTTGCCACTGGATGTTTGTATGATTTTCCCATTGAACTCAGGATCGGTACAGAACCTGATAAAAAGACGCGGGAGGAGGGATGAGACCACATTGAGAATACATTTGATCTGATATGATCTGATTCGACCCGCTTGTGTTCGTTGTTTGTAAGGGTTTATAGTCCTACATCTGTCTGATTCAAATATCGGTTTGTTCCGATGGGAATCGAATTGCATACAGTACCATCTAACTCTAGTCTCAGTAACTTGTTCCGGAGGGAAGCTGTCTTTTCCTCTCCAATACTGGACTTGTCTTCTCCCGTCATAATAAAGGTTATCCCATTTCTTTATCAGCAACAGACAAAGAACTAGTCAAGATCCCTGGTTTCTAACCCATAAAAGGGGGGAGAAAATGGTGCAGAGAAAGTCGAGCCCACTAGTGGACCTCTTAGTTAAGCTAACTAAGGAAGTCTGTTGGAAAGTGAAATACATCAACGAAAACCAAGTTGCTGTTTGGTAGTGTCCTTTTATCTGGTCCTATTTTCCCATCCATATTAAGCTGGTCCCAAATGTCCTTTTTTTTTTAAACCTTCTCATTTGACAAGTACAAGTACTGTAATATAACTTGCAAATGAAAGGCAGTTTCTTCTGCTCTAAGGCAACCATCATATTCCTCTCCACTTGTGTTGTTTAGTGGCACTTTCCGCAGGGTAGGTTGGTTGAGTGAGAGAGAGGTTCTCCTGAAATCTGCACTGCTTAAGATATCCTCTTTGTCCCACTCTCTCACCCACTTTTCACTCTTTTGCATCTCTTTTATCCACCAAAGTTAACGAGTAGTGAGAGTGACAAATGAGTGAAACAAACATGGGAAGACACAAAAACCAAAAATACAAGGAGTTGCAGCAGCTATGAAATTGTGACGAGAACTCAGAATCCAATGTTATTAGAGTTACATGTAATGGTGTTTTGAGTAGTTTCTAACACGTTCCAAATTATTAAACTTCTTCATGTATGGTGTGTGTTGTTTGGGGACAGTTGCGCACAAGATATGCATGAGTTACCTAAAAAATGAGATCACCTCATCGAATGTAATTAGAACGATAAGTACCTTTTAGTTAACACAAATTACACAACTTTTTATTTCACTAAATTCCTGGATCAAAAGACAAACCACCTCTCTATGCTATAAGCAGGTTGTGAAATGGTATGTATCTCTTTGGCGTTAATCCAAAGCTAAGTTCCGTGTTTTAATAACAAAACTACATTTAACTTGAAGATTTGTATAACAGTTTGTTTGTTTACTTATCATTCGATGACCTAACGACCTATTTTGATACAATTTCATAACCTTATGAAAATGAAATTTCATTTTCAAGTCTTATTCTTATTTTTATAGAATTTCATATCCAATTTTTGTGTATGATACAGCTCCCACAAAAATGAATATGAATTTTATTTTTAACAATAAAACAAATTTGAATGAGAAAAGAGAGAACAAATAATAAAATTATAAGATAATAATAAATTTTGGTGAGATCCACTAATTCCATCTCCCATAAACCCAATTCCTATAACTTTTAATATTATTTTCGGTTCTCAAAATTTAAACCAGATAAAATTTATTCCCCACCCATTTTCCATTGCAAACACAAAAATTGTAATTAAAATTGCAAATGAAATTCCATTTCCTAAAAAAAAAAAGTATCCAAACAAGCTTGAAAGAAAAATCTCTCTAAATACATCAACCTTCCTTTTACTACTTAAAAACTGAAAAGTGAAGACTCTTCCTCCTAATTCCTATTCTTTGCTTCCCCACTCAAAAAGAAACTAATACCCCTTCCTTCCTTCTTCCCACCTCTCCCTTTCCAGTTTCCCCTGCCTATATCAACCCAAGAAAAACAACAACCCATATCTCCATTTTCATCCAAACCAATCACTATGAAAGCTCCAATCTTTCTCCTCCTCTTCCATTTCTCCATCTCCTCTCCCTTCTTCCCCACTTCACACTCCTCCTCCCAACCCACTTGCCCGCCTCTCAAATGCAGCCCTCAATCCCCTGAAATCCACACCCCATTCCACCTCACAGCCCACCACCCTCCCGGCTGCGGCAAGCCAGGCTTCACCCTCTCCTGCAAACACAACACCACCACCACCATCACCTTCCCCCACCACCACCTCGACTTGGTCGTCAAGTCGATCTCTTACGACGAAAACAGAATCGACCTCTCGGACCCACGAAGGTGCGTGCACGGCGTCTTCCTCGACCTCGACTTGTCCCTCACCCCGTTTCAGTACGCCTATGCAGTGAAGGAGTTCGATTACTTGAACTGCTCGGCCAGGCTCCCCACGGGCTCGTTCGACGAAGTGGCGTGTTTGAGTGGGAAGGAGCATCATGTCTACACGGTGGAGGCAGGGGAGAGGTCTTCTTTTGAAGTACTGCCGGAGTTTTGTAGAGTAGTGAAGAGTGTCAAAATTCCGTTTGGGTATAGCCCTTACCTTGCTGACGACGAATTTGGCCTCGGGTTGACTTGGGAAACAGAGTGTGGAGAGGAGATGTCAAAGGGTAAGTTGGTAGACTGAGACTCACTCCTTCCTATTCAGCAGTCGAACTTGGAAAACTCTTTAACAATGGATCTGACACTGTTTGCAGGTTTCTTAGCGAACAACTTGGTGGGAAGTGCCTTGTGTGACAAGTTGTTGAAGCTCGGGTTATGCTTGGTGGCGGTAGCGTTGCTGTTGAGCTTGAAGATGTATCATACAAACAGAGGGGAGGAGATGTTGGTGAATGAGAGAAGCCATCTTTTTTTTCTAGTTGAGTCACTCAAAGGTCGAGGAGACGAGGAGTCTTCTGCCTAAAGGACTGCTGAGTTTTGAGATATGTCATCAAAGAAATAGGACCTTTAGTACCTGGTACAAAGTTTGCAGCTGATGACATATGATAGACAAATTTTGGAAAGAGGTACACGCACAAACCCCATGGAAAGGGATTATGAAAACCATAGGCATAAAACCAGTTACGTCGTACACAATTCTAAACTGGTACGACCGATTGCAATTTCATGGAACAGAATTTGTGCTCACTCTAGGATATAACTGACTGGTTTACAATCTGTGGCCGCATAAGAGCCTAAAGTTAAGGTTTTGAAAACTTAACAGCAACCACATTTGCTCGAGTACAAGGTAGTTAAAATGTCTCCACCGTAGATATCAACACACATAACAGAATCGTGAGTATATTATCCTCTGTTAACAGGCTCCAGTGCTTCCACAGTGACGACGCTATTTCCTCTAATCACCTGCAGAAGCGGCATTGAAATCAATATCCCACAATGATGTTTTGGTTTTTCCTAACTTCGAAGAAAAACCACAGACAACTAAATAGTCAACTCACCACCATCCCGATGTCGGTTTGCTCCTCCCCATTCACTGCAACAGTGTTGTCTACCACCAAGTTCATGAATTGGTCGAACCCACGAAGCGTGCCAACCACCATCCTATTCGCATTCATCTTGACTGCATTGGTAGGATCATAATGAATAACTCAAATAGCCCCACAGTCATCAACATAAACAATGTGAGACGCAACTTCAAACAAACAGCCAAAATATATAGCCATGATCCAAACCGTAATGGTTCATCTAGAAATTGACATAGTAGAGCCAACAGTAATGCATTTTACAGCAACATGGGCAGCAAATTTTGCCCAATTCGGATGAATGCTCCATTCAACTAAAGGATTCTTTACGAACAACAGTTTCATAAGCTATACGTATCCCTAAAGTCCAGCAAAACTCAGCCACCGACACAACACACTGGAGCAAACATACAACCACCAATGCACATTTATGCACACACAAAAACGAAGTAACAAGCACATACAGATACAAATGCATGTACACAAGTTGAAGAAGATAAAAACCCTGGCCCAAAGATCAGTTTAGCAGCAAAAGCTATCTGCTATGCTAAAAGGCCAATGCAGTAGGGTACCAAAGCTACTAGCATGATGCAGGATAAGCCGAAGAATTACCAAAGATACTAGCACCGTGCAGGCAAAAACCCTAATGGATAATGACCATAGACACAATTTAGGCGTCTAAACTAGAGACCCAGCAGAAAGAGGGCTGTTTTTTTATACACGAAAGAAGCCCAAAGACACACTCGAAGGAACTTACTCTGGAGCTTCTTGTCCATATACCTGCAATCACCCCACATAAAACATAAAATTTCAGCGATCCGTGAAGGAAGATTGACAGGGGGAAGATAGAACGGAGGTAGAAAGGCAACTTACTTCTTGAGATCTGGAGGCTGGCCTGATCTGCTCATGGTGGAATCTCGGGAGACTAGGATCGAGCTGCGAAGGAGACGATGTAGAAAAGGGAACAAGGGTTTTGGGAGAAGGAGAGCGAAGCAGGATTTCGAGCAAAAACAGTTTTTGGAGGCTGATGCGAGTGGTATAATTTCTAGCGGGTCGGGACTCGGGGCTTCAACTTTTATGGCCGACATAATGGCCCATCGGCAGAGCGATCATAAAAGCCCGCCCTAAATGGGCCGAACTGAAAGCTAGATTAGGAACCATGGTGGGACTACACACTTAAATTCGTTCTAAATTAACTATAACATCGTATTAAATTTTGTTTTTATTTTTTTAAATAGTATGAGAGATTGACAAATGACAAATTTATTTGTGACTCTAGGAGGATTTTTCTGAATGTGAACTTTGTGGTGGTTTTCAATTAATGATTCGGTGCGTTCGTGAAAGGGAATGACTCATGGTTTCGGGAGACATATTTTGGAGGAGATTTAGTTGGCAGTGTTTTGTTTTGTTTTCTTGTTCTTTTGTACTTAGATTGTACAACGAGGCTGGTCACCTAATGCCTAGTGACTACTAACGCCCTCTCATTGACAGTTTGACTATTTGTTGACTGTCGCGTATGATTACTTAGCATATTGTAATATCTATTATGAACTCTATCTTTGAAAAAAAGGTTTTAATTTATTCATCCCAATTAACAAAGTTTGGAAATTCTAACAACTTATGAACGGGTACAAATGGCACGTACGAAACCACATCCCAATTCATGCAAAATTGGTTGGTACAAGTCATATACATAATGCACTTTCTTAGATCAACACGAAGTACATGATTAGAAACATACAACCCAAAATGTCTTATTCGATGTTGATATCTTCTTTAGTTTCGCTTGTTATTGGGAAGAAAAGAAAATCCCTATAGGAAGAGAGTGTAGGTATTTAGACATGACTAAAGCCAACCTCCTTGTTCATGGTCAATTCAAATCCAAGATGAGCTTATCCTTCAAAACAAATTCTATAGAGAATTTTGAGACATTGGGGAGAACCATAAAATCAAGAACTATGAATATGTAATAGTAGCCGTTACGTTACTGTAGGTTGGAAAAGAATCAAAGATGGTCAACCACTTCCGACAAGCAGTCAATTTAATAGTACAATTAACTTGTTGCAACGAGACTTCACCATTACAACGGAATAGAACAGTCGACCTCTCGTGTAGAACAATTGATTGGTTGGAGTAAATTGAAGTCGTTTGATCGTGTGTTTAATAGAGTATGTGGGTTTGTTTTCATATCATGCTCGATTGAACAATATATTGTAGGTGATGAAAGTGGAGAGTTAGAAGAATTTGTGAAAGAAATGCAAAATCCAATTGAAAACTTGTTATGTATTGCTAGTTTGCCACCACAACGTCAAGGATGGAGATACTAGGGGGGGGGGGGATTCTAACGTGCATAATATATCAAACTGGATTCCCTTAAATTCATATTTATTTGCTCCCCTTGATTAGGGGATACAGTCGCTCAGGGGACGATTGATTCCCTAAATTTGCCCCTCACACTTCTTCTCTACCTTACCTTCTCTTTGCTGGATGAAAGCGAGAGATGTAGAGGAATAGTGATCAGTTATCCAAATTTAATTAAATTAGAATTTGGTGATCCAGTTGTCTTTAAAATATTTAGGATAAATTAAATTTACAGATTTATGTAGTGAATATTACTAGTTGGTGTGTCTACCATCTATATCATACATGGTCTAACAAAAGGGAAGGTGGTGCATGCAGCAATATTTTTGCGTTTGGACATAACTCTGGTTAATGTGGATTGGAGATCTATGTACCCAGATGCATTTCTTCTCCATCTTCCTATCACGGGCTCTGACCAAGCGAAGAAAACTACAGTGCGCTAACGAGCAATCAAACTACTGCAGCAAGAAAACAAATAATAAGAAAGAACATCGTCCGCTACTCGGATAGGAGAAAGAGAACTACTAGGATAGCAACTCAAAACTAGCTACTAGGAGTGTTCTCCCAGTATCACTGCTCCCCCTGTCTTCCCACCAGCTCCAGATGGAGATTTGAGTTGTTTATACGATATGACACTATTTAGCAAACTGTAGATTCCCTAACAAAAAAAGACAACGTTATTTATAATAAATTTCAAATCTAAATTAATCTGCTTAAATTTGAAAAAGTTATTTTTCCAAATATAATATGTTTCACACACTAAAAAGTTCATTGTGTTTTGTACTTTGTATACACGTCGTGCTAATTATTAATAGTAATAATGAAATCTTTGATTTAGAGCATACACATCATTAATAAAAAAATTAATTATCGGATATTGTAATGGTATTAGCTAAAAAAAATAACATACTCTAGCTAACAACCATACAAGTTAGCAACAAGGTACAAAATATATATTGTTATAAGCATCTTGATTTAGAAATCCTATACCGTCCCACTCTCGAGTCGATGGACAACAATAACTGGTTGAGACTTGAGATCTAGTGCAAGCAAAGAGTTTTGAATATAAGATAATATTTTCTTCATTAATCTACATCTCCATGAAGGACATTAGTTTTTTTGACAATCAAACTGCTTTTTATTCAATAATCAAACTATCCTCTCTACGAAGGACAGTGATATGATAGATGTTGAGAATTTTTGGCATAGGGTTATGATAGATTTAAACAACCTCAATGTTTCAGCCACGAAACAAGTATGGCGCCCGGTCTGTGAAAGGGCGGGGATGGCCCCCATTATCTACCTCCGACGATCAACATTAGTACAATGATAGAGAAATAAGGAGATCTTAGGTAGAGAGAGATTGTAGAGAGATAAGTGATATGTCAAAATGAGTAGAGGAGTAGAAGAGGTCCCTTACTTGGAAAACATAGGAGCATATTTATAGGAAAAACCTTGTGATATTTTGCTGGGCTTCAGTTGGGCCTTGTGGTGCTTTGTGGGCTTGGGTCCATATGTGCCTTGCAGACCATATTTACTATTAGGTTGGGCCATGCCATATTTACACCCCCAACAATTGTCCCCCAGTTAGGTATTCAGTGGTACACTGGATGCCTAACTAGAAGTCTTCATGTTGTCAAACTTTTGTAGCCTCTACATCTGGCATATGACGTGTATGCGCCTCTTTTTACTCTGCTAGTTAATTCATGTCCGCCATGATCATAATAGCTTAAGACCCCGTAGCAAGAACCATGGAGAGAAAGAACAATGTACCATAATGCGTCTCATAACACGGTTAGGGATATAACTCAAGCAATGAGATAAAACTATTTATTGCACATATGATGCCTAACAAGGCTACGACATTTTTCGACACATAAATTAAAGATTTGTTTGCCTTAGAAAAAATCCCGAATGCGCATGCACATGTTACCCCCAATTGTCCCCCAGTTAGGCGCCCAGTGATGCACTGGACGACTAACTAAAATCCCCTGACTTGTCCAGTTTTACGTAAGATCATTTGGTGTTTTGTCCCCCAATTCATGTCCCCCATTACCATATTAATTACATAGAGTAATGATCACAAATATACTAAGAAATGCAACAAAATTTGGTTCATACAATAACTAGGAATATAACTCAAGTAGAGACAGAAAACACTTAGCTTATTCCTTGAGATGTATTATTGGAGGCTAGAAAGGAAGCGCCTTAACCTCGAAGTGCTTCCACGGCGGACTCCTAATCTATAACCAGACTGCCCTTTATTTGGCGGTATGCGCCTCTATTATAACGGCTTTATTGACTTTGGTGTTGCGGGTGCCTAACACTTTGCTATGAGTTTTCTGAGATGTTGCGAGCGCCTCGCTTCTCCCTTGAACACCTGTTGGGTACTATGAACCCCTTACATTCCCATAGAGAACTTGCAAGTATCATGGGCGCTTTTAAGTACTTCGGGTGCTTCGGGTATTACGTGCGCTTTGCATCTCACTTGGAGACCTTTCAAGTATTTCGGGTGCTTTGCATCTCACTTGGAGACCTTTCAAGTATTTCGGGCGCTTTAGGTATTACGGGCGCTTTGCATCTCACTTGGAGACCTTTCAAGTATTTCGGGTGCTTTGCATCTCCCTTGGAGACCTTTCAAGTATTTCGGGCGCTTTGCATCTCACTTGGAGACCTTTCAAGTATTATGGGTGCTTTTCATCTCCCTTGGAGACCTTTCAAGTATTTCGGGCGCTTTAGGTATTACGGGCGCTTTGCATCTCACTTGGAGACCTTTCAAGTATTTCGGGCGCTTTGCATCTCACTTGGAGACCTTTCAAGTATTTCGGGCGCTTTAGGTATTACGGGCGCTTTGCATCTCACTTGGAGACCTTTCAAGTATTTCGGGTGCTTTGTATCTCCCTTGGAGACCTTTCAAGTATTTCGGGCGCTTTGCATCTCACTTGGAGACCTTTCAATTATTTCGGGCGCTTTAGGTATTACGGGCGCTTTGCATCTCACTTGGAGACCTTTCAAGTATTTCGGGTGCTTTGCATCTCCCTTGGAGACCTTTCAAGTATTTCGGGCGCTTTAGGTATTACGGGCGCTTTGCATCTCACTTGGAGACCTTTCAAGTATTTTGGGCGCTTTGCATCTCACTTGGAGACCTTTCAAGTATTCCGGGTGCTTTGCATCTCCCTTGAAAACCTTTCAAGTATTTTGGGTGCTTTGCATCTCCCTTGGAGACCTTTCAAGTATTTCGGGCGCTTTGCATCTCACTTGGAGACCTTTCAAGTATTTCGGGTGCTTTGCATCTCCCTTGGAGACCTTTCAAGTATTTCGGGCGCTTTAGGTATTACGGGCGCTTTGCATCTCACTTGGAGACCTTTCAAGTATTTCAGGTGCTTTCCATCTCCCTTGGAGACCTTTCAAGTATTTCGGGCGCTTTAGGTATTACGGGCGCTTTGCATCTCACTTGGAGACCTTTCAGGTATTTCGGGCGCTTTAGGTATTACGGGCGCTTTGCATCTCACTTGGAGACCTTTCAAGTATTTCGTGCACTTTAGGTATTACGGGCGCTTCGCATTTCCATTGGAGACCGTTCGAGCATTACGGGCGCTTTATATCTCTATTGAAGACCTTTCAAGTATTACGACGCAAGACATTTCTCTCAGAAATCTTTCGAATATTACGGGCGCTAGATTCGGGCGCGGAGAGTATTTCAACACAAAAATAAAGATTCCGTGGAGGTAAAATCAAATTACACAAAATAATTAGAGCACTTAGCTTAATTGTGACTTTATTGAAGCCCATGCCTCTTCCTTCATAATATGCGTCTGCCAAACCAGTACAAGTCGCATTGTTGTAGATGAATGGCTGAATAGCTATACTTCTATTGTGGAGGTGCTGGTTTCGAATTCGACATTATGCGTCTTCATTGAGTGTGCTGAATCCCAGATATTCAAGGGCGCTTGCAAAAACAACACATAGCGCAGGTGTGTATCCGAGTGGTGATTCACTTATCTTGAATTTGTGTGGGCACGGGTTCAATACCCACCTCAGGCGCTCAATTTTTAGTTAATTAACTGGACGCTTGGGCCCTTTGTGGGTTGCTTGCTTTGGGCTTCAATGTAAGTGAGTACCTTATAGCGCAGGTGTGTATCCGAGTGGTGATTCACTTATCTTGAATTTGTGTGGGCACGGGTTCAATACCCACCTCAGGCGCTCAATTTTTAGTTAATTAACTGGACGCTTGGGCCCTTTGTGGGTTGCTTGCTTTGGGCTTCAATGTAAGTGAGTACCTTAGGCGCTCAATTTTTAGTTAATTAACTGGACGCTTGGGCCCTTTGTGGGTTGCTTGCTTTGGGCTTCAATGTAAGTGAGCACCTTGGGCCCTGGATACGGTCGCGCAGGCCTCGTGGCCGGATTTGCGACCTGGACACCTAGCTACTTCTGAGCTAGGCCTGCGCTTCTCTCTTCTTCCTTTCCTTTATTTACTTCTTCTCACTAGCATCATCTATTTATTTTTTTCTCACCATAATCGATCATCCCTTCCGAGACACTACCAATTCCGAAGCCTGCCGTATGCCCTTCCCTTCGGCGGCTCCTTACGTATCTTGAAGGTATGCGCCTCTCAAATTAGTACACGTTCCGCGTTAGATCGCCTTCAACCACCAGGGCGCATCCTTTTTTTTTTTAATTTCTCACTTCTTTCGGCTACTCCCGGTGGCCCAAAGTTGCTAGACTTCCTCCACAGAGCGCCTTCAAATTTAGAGAATCAGCAAGAAAGCGCGACACTCGGTGGTATATGTACCCCTCTCGGAAAATAACATGATCTCCCGTTTTGTCGCATAATGTACATCTGAGGTGGTTTGGGCGCTCCATTTTAGAGAATAGGCAAATGAACGTGGCGCAAAGGAGTTGTTTGGTCGGAAGAGCCCAATAGTGAAACAAATTTTGTACACTCCCGATTTTCAAGATCACACTGTCGTTGCCTTCGTTTGCTCCCTCCCTCGTGCGTCCAATCTCTTGTTTCTAGGTTGACGATGGAGACGCTTGATATATGTTGCCCAATTGGGCCCAAATACCTTCCTGGTAATTTAGCGAACGCCTTATTCCTATCATATATATTTAGCATGGGCGCCTATTGATGATGATGAGGTGTCGGTGGGGTTTGCTCATCATGCTCCCGAAATCAGGCGCCCGTACAAATAGAGTCGTAGACTCTTCTTCATCAGTGACTTGCTGTTGTTTGATGGTGTATGCGCTTCGCCAACAATTGTGACCTCCTTGTCTTTCTACCTTCCAGGAGCCTCGCCTCCGTGCTTACTCTTTCAAGTTCCTTTGCCAATTTTTTTTTTTAACTCCCGACATCCTATACCTCCTCCCTCATCAATATCTATGTTTTCTTGCCTTCGATTGAGAGCCACCATGAAACAATAGGTTCCTGTTCATAATCGAACGTTAGGAGCCTTATAAAGTCCCTCTTGGTGAGTAAGGCGCCTCCTGGCCGAGCAGACTCCTCCCCTACACCCCTTCCTGGCGCGCCAATTGTTTCAGCCACGAAACAAGTATGGCGCCCGGTCTGTGAAAGGGCGGGGATGGCCCCCATTATCTACACTCCGACGATCAACATTAGTACAATGATAGAGAAATAAGGAGATCTTAGGTAGAGAGAGATTGTAGAGAGATAAGTGATATGACAAAATGAGTAGAGGAGTAGAAGAGGCCCCTTACTTGGAAAATCTAGAAGCATATTTATAGGTAAAGCCTTGTGATATTTTGTTGCGCTTCAGTTGGGCCTTGTGGTGCTTTGTGGCCTTGGGGTCCATATGTGTCTTGCAGACCATATTTACTATTAGGTTGGGCCATACCATATTTACACCCCCAACACTCAATTTTAATTTTAGCATCTTAGTATTTACTACTTGAGTCAACAACCCATCACTCAATTTTAGTTTTAGCATCTTAGTATTTACTACTTGAGTCAACTAAAAATCATTGATAGAGTGTCAAGTGTTTGATTGAGAAATTTGTCTAAACTGGCATCAAATACCATAACATCGCATATAACTCACGCCAACAATATAAACAACTAAGATGATCCAAATAATTCAAACCTCACAATAATTCGATTAGTGCAAATGATTATATCGAATATCCCGTCAAGCTAGCTTGGTGAGTGACAAAAAACATCTACTCGATACAGATGTAATCTATCAAAGCATATTAGTAAACTAGATTTTACCCATCTAGTTTTGTTAATTTTTCCGTTGGTAGCATTTCACAGCAAACCACCAAAATAAGACGAAGATTCCAATCGCTCACATGAATTTACAAGTCTGAAATTTGCCTCCATTTAGCTGGACTTACCACTCCTAACCGCAGCAGCAACCTTCTGTTTCCTTTCACTACCCAGCTTCGATGGACACTTTAACCTTTCACTTCCCTCCACAACATTCTCTTTCTCCTTCTTCTTCCTCTGCATACTCCTCGTCACAACACCACCAACTCTTCGAACCACTCTTCTGTTACTCGGCGTAACAAGCACTTCCCCTTCCATCTCCGACTTGCCCGTCTCTTTCTCCCCCTCTTCACCATGGCTGCCTCCCTTGTTACTACGACCATCACCATCATCTTTGGGTTGTTGCAGTAATAGGTCCCAAAACTGATGTTCACAACCTTCAGGGATGCTCATTACGACATCCCGAAGCTGTATTACTGATAGATCATCAACCATTGCTGGCGTCAGAGTTATCCCAGGATTGGTGGCTGAACATTCTCTGTCACTAGAGTAAAACTGAGCTGTGACTTCTTCCCAGTGAGGAGGGAATCCCAGCACAAAAAGGTTACAGACCTGTGGAAAATGAAACACCCTGCTGATAACGAATTGGAAAGCTCTGAGAATCCAATAAACTTGATGATAGTAAACACTACTTTACCGAAACGGGGAAGCCATTCTGTAGAGTGCGCAATCTGTTGATCATTCCACCAAGTATGACAGTGATTCCATCTGCAGTCTCCAGAGTGATGGAATCATGCCTCTCCACTATTGGTGCCGAGCAGAATTCTCTTGTTCCTAGCCTGTAGTATATGGGAGTGACACCCAAACAATAGTAATACCAATACATTCAACAAATCACTGGTTATTGGCATGAATTAGTTCACAACTGAATCTTTGAACTTCTGATTAAGAAGTCTCATACTTGGAATCCTATAAACTTCTGAACATAATACAGTTCATCTACGCAAATTTCGAACCCATAAACAACTTCCATTTGAGATCACAAAATGAAGAATAGTACAAGATTCAATTTTTATAACCCTTACGAACTATTTGAATGAGCTGATTCACAAATGAAATTGAGTTTTCTTACTTACGGTCTAGCAGCAAAACCTTCGACGGCAATCCCATTACCTTCCGCCTGAACGAGCCACCAATTATTCATAGTCACCTGCCAATTCAGTTCAAGAATCAAAACAGCAAGTAAAGAAGCAGACCAGAAGGAAAGGAACGGGGGGAGGAAAATTCCTCGAGAAGAACAGAATCGGCTTACTGATTTGAGGGAAAGTGAGGAAGCAGGGCTTAGGAGTGTGCTTGGAGAGAGAGTTTTCCGATTCGAAGCTTCTGCGTATGGGTTCTTTCTTCTGCTGCTGCTTTCCGTCGCTGCCATTCCCTCACCAAGTGTTCCTGAATTCGGGTTCAAGGCAAAGCGAAACATTATTACTCAATTTTGGCGGAAACCCTAACTGTATCAGCCCACAAATTCGAAATTGCAGTGGTAGCCGAGGGGTTTATGGAAGAGGGGAGGCCAGCAAGTTCGAGAGGAAGAAGAAGAAGAAGAAGCAATCACCTGCAGGCCGTAGATCGAGAGAGGGAAAAGGCGGGAGGAGAAGCGTATGTCGATATGTGGCGGGAGGGTTTTCGCGGTTTTTGGATTAGGCCCCCAAGGAGATGGAGCGAAGGAAGAAGAACAAGAAGTGTATTGGTCGGAATTTCTTCTCTATTTTTTTTTAGAGTTAAAACAATACAATCGGCACATTATTAGAGCGTTTGTTTGGGGAAATTTTAAAAAATTTATGCATCTTTAATAAGTCGTTTGAATGAATTTTTAATGGGGTATAGGTAGAGTCAAATGGATATATAACTTATTAATTATTCATATGGTATTTTTAATATTATTATAAATAGGTAATTTGATTAAAGTATATGGTTTGGTAGAATCATGCACATGTGGTATTTGGCAAAAACATAGAGATAACATGAGTTATTTCGAAATAATATAGGGTTCGGAGTTATTTCAAATAAACGGTCAACATAACTCATTTCGGTAAAACGCTGACAAATGAATTATTTTGGTGCAAATACTCAATGTGAGTTATTCATTTATTTGAACCCAAATAACTCACTCAAATACTTCATTCAAACGACTACGTAGTATTAGTGAGAACAAGGAAGGTGACTTAATAAATTAAGGAAAAATGTGTGTTTTGAATGATCGGATTTGCCTCAAACACCCCCAATTTCAAACACTCAAATCCATACTTGCTTCATATTAATTCGCGGGAGGGTGACAATCTCAAAACCATACATAGGATTTTTGAATACCCATGGATAATATCCGCCCAAATTGTAATTGCTAAGATATGATGACTTGTATCGGAACTAGTAACAAATACAGTAGAAAAACTAAACCCGTGTTATGAGGTAAGTTGCCAGTTTGCACACTGGAAAGACTAAATAGTTTCATGTTTGCTACTAAAAATATTTTATTCCGTTCGTGATCACGAAATTAGTTCAACTTCGTTTCTTTTTATATTTGGTTTGCTTAGTTCCCATGGGTTTGGTTGGTTGCTATTTCAAGTTTGGCCACTGGTTGTTACCTTTCGTTAGTCTCAGCTAACAACGTCAATTTTTTGCTGACGTGGCTAACAGAAGTGTCTAATCATCCAAATTTAACCCAGCATGTCATAACACCCGACCCGCAACGATCATTGCAGTCCTACATTAGCAGGTCATAAAACCCTTATCGATTCGATTTTTTTGTATGCATTTTTTGTTTAATGGGTAAACACTAACCATAAAATTAGTTAGTAGTTAACCGAAACCAAACCGTTTAGCACCGCTACAAGTGGGATATGCAGAGATCAGTGCAATCCTACATTAGCATGTCAAAATTTCCAAAATTAAGCTGCTATTAGTTGACTTCTGTTATTGATCTTAATCGGCATCAGTCACGTTGTACCAGCCAACTAACTGATCACCAGCATTATCGATCTCAACTGAAAAACGTCAAACTTGACGCGCAGAATCGTTCATATTCAAGAAATCGACCTTTGGATTGTGATATGTAACCAGAAATGATGGGATAGGAGTCTACTACTATAATATAAGCATTGCGTTTGCGTGTGAAGGATTAGACCAATCCGAACAGAAACCAAATAAGCCCAACAAAGCGATCAAAAGTGGGAAACGAAGAAACCTGGAGAAAAGGAAAAAAAGGCCGGTCTCTGATGGGCTCCCACCACCTATGCTGCTGTTGTTGTTGGTTAGTATTATTGCCGACTAGCTAGCCAACTGAATGCAAATCCCAGAAGGGAAGGAACCCAAAAACAGAGTCGTGGAAAAAGACAGTTGATGATTCTTCGTTGAAGATGCAAGTAAATAACAGGTTTGGTCATTAAGGTTTGGGGTTATAAAGAATTTGGTCACTGAACTTTGGACTTTTGCATCCATATTTTGAGTGATGGGTATAATCTGGATTAGTATGCGTTTAAATGGGTCGTTTAGGTTTGTTAATTATGGTCTATGACTTCATCTTTGTATCATTAATTTGGTTAAGTTGACACTCAAATTTTAACAACTTGCAGGCAAAATGTATTGCATAACTCAACACCAACCATTTCGTTTGTAAACAACAGACATTCCATTCATAGATATAATATTGTTGAAATAATCGAAATAAAATTTAAGCGGTAAGTTGGACAAATTGTATGCAAAATAATATATTCGATGGTTTTGCAAGTCAATGACTTCCTGCCAGACCACTAAATTTTGTGGGTCACATAGAAAATGATGGACACCCACTCACATAATGGATGAGTTTTAATCGAGTAGATTTGACTATTTACACACCCATTACTCATCCTGATCACATATTACCCATTCCTAAGATGGAGGAACCATTATTATGTTTGTTAATTGTTATATCAAAATTCAGTGACAAGTACACTAGACATAAAAATGTAGTGACTCATTTCATTATGACCCCAAAGTTTAGTGACCATTGATGTAAATAATCCAGAAAAATGTCAGAAGGGACCTGCAGATTGACATTTAATTTGCCCCAAGCAATTGGCTGGCCCAATAAATTCCCCCTCTCCTTCCTCCCATTTCCTATCCCAGGCTAACTCATATTCCCACCACCACCACCAATGCAAAATCTCCATAGCCCAACTGGAACTTCTCCTTCTCCTCTATATAAATCCCTCCAAACGAAACAAAATTAACTTACAATTGCTCTTAATAACCCCATAAAGAAAAAAGAAAAAAAAAGCTTTCAGATTCCCTCATCACCATGGGTCCTTTCTCTGCAACACCCTCATCTGTTGGGCTCCTATTCATCATCACCATTTCTGCTGCAACGCTACTTTCTCTCCTCCCACTTGCTAGTTCCATTCCCTTCATTGTTCTCCATGGTATGTTCTTCCTTTTGCCCTAAAGTATATTCCTTTCCCACATTTGGGTCATTGGCATTTGGCAGCAGAAAGTTTTAGTTCTGTTTTTTTTTTTATCACAAACTAACAGTTTCTGTGCTGTGTGGGCAGGGATTGGAGATGAGTGTAAGAGTGGGAAAGTGAGTCATTTCACTCAAATGGTGGCCAATCTCTCTGGCTCGCCTGGTTTCTGCCTGTGAGTCTACTCCCTGTTTTTCATCACTAGGATTCCAAATCTCCCCTGTTTTACCCTCTTCTTTCTTTTTCTCTAGCCAAGCTTTAAACTTTTGAACATAACAATGCAGGGAAGTTGGAAATGGGTACTGGGATTCTTGGTTCGTGCCCATGAAGAAGCAGGTGAGAAACCCTCATTTGCCTGTGGCCAACATTCGATTTAGCGTCGAGTTCGAACTTTGTGACCAACAATCGTTTCGTATTAAGAAAATGTCGAATGTTATTACTTAATAATCTTACCCTTCTTTCTTATACTCATTTTTTCGCAGGCAGAGATGGTTTGCAACAATGTAGGAAGACCGCTGGCTTCTTTTCTCTCTTTCCCATGGGCTTAATCATCATTAACACAAATCTTATGGTCTTAATGATTTGGAAATTTGGCAGGTGAAGACGATCGATGAGCTCAGCAACGGTTACAACATAGTTGGACTCTCCCAGGTTTCTGGTTCGCTCTTTTAATATTATTTTAATAAAACGTGTTTGTTTGTAATTACTAATTATTATTATTATGACAACAAAATGTTTGCGTGACATTAATTAATTAATTAATTAATTAAGATTATGAAAACAGGGCAACTTAGTCAGTCGAGCCGTGATAGAGTTCTGTGAAGATGGTCCTCCCGTAAGTTAATTAGAATCCTTAATCCTTCCCTTTAACGCAAGATTATGAATTGATTAATCAGATCAATTATTTCATTAGCTTGTACGCAAAAGCCTAATAAAATGCATTCCAGGTGATGAACTACATTTCGTTGGCTGGACCTCACGCAGGCATTGCTTCCGTTCCCATGTGTGGCGTAAGTAATTAGTAAATACTAATTACTGCAATTACCCGTCAATTTAAGACATTGTGATTTCCGCGAAATACACTTCTGTTGAGTATTTGTTATATTAATTATGGACTTATTGCAGAATGGCACATGGTGCGAAGTAGCTGATGAACTCATTAAGGCGGGCATTTATACTGATTTTGTTCAGGTATATGAATTTACAAGAATTTGATATAAATGCAATTCAAATTAGTTAACGAGATGAATTAATTTTTTTTTCTCTCTATTGTGGCTGCAGGATCACTTGGCGCCAAGTGGGTACCTGAAGTTGCCTGATGTAAGCTTATTAATATTATAATCCATGTGATTTTCCTCACCTTCAAATTTTATGTAGGATTAGTGGATGATTTATATGTTTTTTGAAAATTGTTAGGATATGTCTGCTTACTTGAGCAAATCCAAGTTCCTCCCACAACTCAACAATGAACATCCTGAAGCTAGGAACCCAACATTCAAGCAGAGATTCAGCAGCTTGAAGAATTTGGTGCTTATAATGGTAAGTGAATAAAACAATGAGTGGCAAAATGGTGAAAGAAAATTCCCCCTCTGATACATTGTAACTTGAAGTGTTCTATGCAAATTTTCAACAGTTTGAGGAAGATGAAGTGATTGTACCAAAGGAGACGGCCTGGTTCGGATTTTATCCCGACGGAGAGTTCAGCCCAGTTTTACCGGTGCAACAGGTAAGTCAAAATTGGGGGAAAAAACTAAAGCGAAAAAAATAAAGCATAAATGGATGATTTTCGTAGTGTTTGTGAAATCATACTAAATTGCTGATATTAGTATATCCATTTGGGTGTCGAAGACCACAAACTCGAGTCTAATTATTTCGATGTGTGTTTTCGGTGCAGACGAGGCTGTACCAAGAGGACTGGATAGGGCTGAAGCAGATGAATGAGGAAGGAAGAGTACAATTTGTGAAAGTGTCAGGAGGCCACCTTGGGATTTCAGACAGTGACCTCAAGCAATATGTGATCCCTCACTTGCTTCCTGCTGCTGCTCACTAATTCAATGCAAACATCCCCCCAAGATTCAATACCTGACTGACACCAACATCATCAACTTTGGGGGAGAATAAGCAGAAAAAAGCAACTGGAAGGAAGAACATTGATTGTTTGCAGTGATTTTTCATGGTTCAGCAAGAACTGGGGACCATTTGATTCTTACTATGATGATGATGATGATGGCAATAGTTAATGTTTGAAGATTTCCCTTCCCTTGAAGTCACTCCTGCCATTATGTCGAGAAAATTGCAATTATGGACATGTGTAGCAATTAGCATAGAGGAAGAGAATACAATAATCAGAGACCACAGTGATCCTCTTTCATTATGTATAAAAGGTATATGTAATTAATTTGTGTTTATCATATTCCTAATGAAATCTTATCGTTTAAAATTAGCTGTGAATTTAGAAATTTGAGTGGGAGCAGCAGCGATAATCAAGCACATGTGATCAATGACTTACCAACTTTTCTAACTTTCAAAATTTGTAGAAGTTTACATGTATTGTTAATTCTAATATGCAACTTGACTCCCTCGCGTCAAAACATAACTTTGCAACTGTTCAATAATGTAACAAAAAATGTCGAGTTCGGTGCTTAATATGATATATGAATACAAACTGAATTTGATGATCAAATTTACCTAAAAGTTATTTTTTCACGCGAAAACCCATATTTAATCCCCAAGTATTTGGCATTGGATTCTAAATTTTTTTTAAAAGCATTGAAAAGAGAAATGGATTGTTGTGCTATTGCATTTTTACTAACAGGGTGCCGCTTATATTGCATATCCAAGTATATGGGTAAGATAGGTCATAGGAAGAAATCTGAAAAGCAAGTCAAGAATGACAATTCGATCATCTGGGAGGAAATCATGAGTGAGTGATCTGGCTACCCAATTTGCTCTATCAACTTCCTTCTAAAGAACTTAACCTTGATCATTGGATTCGTCTTCAGGATATCGACCATTGTACCAATCCAGGCAGAACACCTTCCAACCACAAGGATGGGAGATCGAAGAGGGCTTTGACCAAGACCAAACAATTTGCTCGTGTTTTAACAAGGATTAACAATTTTTGTGCAAGTTTCAGGGTTTCAAGTAACGGTTTCATTTCCACTTCAATCAGTGATGTGCAAACTGCAAAGCATAGTGTCAACTCTCCTATGGAAGACTTGTCTGTTAGACCGGATTGAGGAGTAAAAAATATAAAAATTTACATGGTTCACTAACATGATGTATGTAAGCCTCGTAAAAGAACAAAAAATAACATTTTGAATATACTTGAAAAGATACAAATAACAAATATTAAAAAGATATATATTCTACTTTCTCTAAACAATCTAGTCTAATCAACAACTGATCATTTGTTTTTAAGTCATAGCAACATTCTCCACTGCTATTGCGTTTAATTCAGAAGTTTCGTGTACCGTATATGTTTCTAATTAATTGGGTAACTACCAACCCTCCCAACCAACCAGGCGTCAATAAACAAGTAAGAAGTAACTACCCCACGCCGTTCTTATACATACACAAGCCGAGGAAAAGCAAAAGCAAAAACTTGCAGTGACAGCAGAAACTCTGCCCAACCCATCATCGAATCGATTGCCAATATCGATCATCGATCGATGAAATGATGAATGGCCGGCCGCCTTGATTTCGTCCCGTAGAAAACCGCCCAATCGCCGCCGCCCTTCATTTGCTTTCCCGCCATACCTCGCCCGCCATCTGTTTCCCGGAGTTAATTGCCTTATTTCCCGCCGGCAAAAGAACCCAGAAAAGGGGAGAAAAAGATCTCCGATGGCTTCGTCTCACTTCCCACTTGTTGTTTTCCTAACCCTTTTAATCTTATCCCCACCACCTGCTGTTTATTCCTCTTTACCCTTTATCGTACTCCATGGTAAAAGTTATTCATTCCATGGGCTTTCTTTTTGTTCTTTCCTTTTCATGCCCCTTTTGCCCATGTTTTCTATTTCATTAGCTGCTATTGTGAAACTTTGGTCCTCTGTTGAAATGGGTTCTTCCTATTAGGGAATCCCACTTGTATGAAATATGCTTTCATGAGATGAAGCAGGCAGAAGCATGTTTCTGTGTTTAACCAAAAAGAGAAAGAGGGTTGCATATAGCTTCAGTGGTAGAGTGCTTTGTGTTTGTGATTTGTTGATGGTGATTGTAAAGGGATAAAGTGAAACTGATTTGAATGGTAGAAATCAATTACTTAACTAGAAGGCAAACCGGGATTCTGTATTTTGTGGGCTCAATAGGAAATTTATGTTTCAAATAATTTTGACTAGTTAGTTGCATAAAGGTGGCTTCTTCCCTGTAAATGGGAGAAACAGGATCGTGTACTATATGGATGGTGGAGAATGAAAGGAACTTTTGAGTGCAAATTAAGGAACCCTTATGCTGGAATTTATTTTCCTCATTTGTCGGGTTATTTGAATCTTAATCCTGCTAGCTTGACAGGTATTGCAGATGAGTGCAAGAGTAAAGGAGTGAAGAGCTTCACCGACCAACTGATTGCCTTCTCTGGTTCTTCAGGACATTGTCTGTATGTTTCAGATCATTGCGAACACATCCCACAAACTTACTTTTACTGGTTTTGCTTAAATTGATTACTTTCTCTGTAAGCATAGAATGAACTGGAGTTCCCCTATTGGTTTTTAGCCTTGATTTAGACTTGCAGAAGCAAAATGTTCAAATGGTCTTAATTGATGTGGCAATTCGTTTGTTACCATTGTTTCTGCAGTGAAGTTGGGAATGGAGTATGGGATTCATGGTTTTTGCCTCTTGAGGAACAGGTTAAGACTTAGAATTAAAGACTGCAATTACTATCTTGCTAAATGTCTAATGCACTTGCAGCTTTAAACAAATATTTCCATATAATGTATCATTTATTCGTTTAAAGTCTTTCATGATAGATCTCCTAATCCGTTACTAATAAGCTCGCCCTTGATAATACAAGGACTACAAATACCATTAAACCTTTCACAAACGAGCATGCAAATGGTGTCTGATGTCATGCTATTATGTTCTTGCAGACGAATATCGTCTGTGAAAAGGTGAGGTGGGATCTGGGAGGGTATACTATAGTCAGTTTTACAGTTTTCCTCAGAATGCGAGCTTATGGAAGAGTTATATTAGGTGAAGGAAATGAAAGAACTGAGTAACGGTTTCAACATAGTTGGTCTTTCCCAGGCGAGTATTTCCTTTCTCTCATATATAACAAAATTGCATAATTCATAATTGCTAAAAGTGCAAATGAGAGTAGTTCATAGCTTGAACTGTTAGTTTGTTTTATGCAGGGCAACTTGATTGGTCGAGGGGTGCTAGAGTTCTGTGATGGTGCTCCTCCTGTGAGTAAAGCTTCACACTTTTCTCCAACTTAGTCCACTCTTCCTCATTTAGCGGCTTCTGATTCTGTTCATTGCACCAACAGGTCAAGAACTTTATCTCACTAGCTGGGCCTCATGCTGGCACAGCTTCTGTGCCTCTCTGTGGTGTAAGTTTTCAATACTGCCTTAGCTTTCACAGACTCCATTCATCAAATAAAAATTAATTTAATGAATTTTAAGCTCTCTTTGGTTATGACTTTTTGGCAGAGTGGGTTCCTTTGCATTATAGCAGACAAGCTAATCAAATCAGAGGTCTATAGCGATTTCGTACAGGTAAGTTGTTATCCTTATATTAAATGAGTCAAATCTCATTTAAGTAACTGCAATTGAACTCCATAGAATTTGGAAATAATGCAGGAGCACCTGGCTCCAAGCGGCTACCTCAAACTGCCTAATGTGAGTTTGTTTGACACTCAAGAAAGTAGTAGTTGTCCTCTCAGGCTATAAGATGATAGCATAACATACTACTGATTCTCGCAGGCTATCTCGAGCTACTTGGAGAACTGCCAATTCCTTCCCAAGCTGAACAATGAAATTCCGGACAGGAGGAATTCCACGTTCAAGGAGAGGTTCAGTAGCCTCGAGAAATTGGTGCTCATCATGGTATGTTCCTGTAATCCTGTCTACCTTGTCCCAATCCTTTCTCGCAGTTCCAATTGTATGTCTGCTAACTTTTCCTTGTTTCTCTCCATTATGACCCCAGTTTGATGATGACAAGGTTGTGATCCCGAGAGAAACCTCTTGGTTTGGGTACTACCCAGATGGAGAATTCGAGCCAGTTTTGCCCCCACAAGAAGTACGTATCTGCACTCAATTGGTAGCAAACGTTTCTGGTTACTGAAACTTGCTTATTGCTGGTTGTTTTGCAGACTAAACTGTACATTGAGGACTGGATCGGGCTGAGAAAACTGGACGAGGCAGGTAGAGTTCACTTTGTGAATGTCTCAGGGGGACATCTGGGGATCTCAGAGAGCGACATGAAGACGTTCATCGTTCCTTACTTGGTGGATAATAAACAACAACCATCAGTATCAACTTCAAGAAGGATGCTAGATGGATCGCCATCTAATGGTTGGCACTCACCTGTCTAAAGCTTCCTCAGGGGACTGATAGGAACCAATACTTGCATTTGTGATCTTTGTTATTGCCATCACGTTTAGTGTAGCACTTAAACTCCTTACAGCAAACTCAAACTTACTGTTATTTTCTACCCAATTCATTCCCATTGTTGATTGTAGATAATAAATTTCGAGAAAAATATCGATTATTATGTACATAGTAATTTATTTCCGTAATATGGATTACAGATATTGAACTTAAGAAAAAACTTGCATGTTACAGCTTTTTGTTTCCTATCGAATCAGATGTCTATAGAGTCTTTGGTATGTTATATTCTTATATATACCATAAACCTAATATCAATTATCAACCGTTTGGGAAAAGAAACATTGTTACATGAAGCATCGATATTAATATGACATTCACTATATTATTGAGTATTCTACCACGGGTACTACAGTAATATGCAATTTCGTTGATGAACAATTCGATACAAGCTTATTCTACCACGGGTATTACAGTAATATATGATTTCGCAATCAGATATTTGTTACATTATCCTGCCGAGCAACTCGTACCCCATAAACCACCACACTCTAGTCGGTCAATATCTCGCTCTTCGTTGGACTCAATACAATGCTTGGGTCACATCCATCGAGATCTGATTCTGTAGAACTACCGAGCAATCGTCGAATTTCACGAGATCCTTCGAGAGGATGAGATCCAGACTTTGCCTTGGTGCCTTCAATATAATACTTCTCAAACTGCTGTAGAGGCCGTAAGTTTTTACGTGAAGGTGATAGAATTCTAGAACAGCCTGCAACTGCAAATTTCCAAAATCAAATGTTGGCGATATAAGGAATGTGTTTATTTTGGCTACAAAGATAAGTGGATTTGAATGCTAAAACGAGCACATCCACATTAACATGAGCAAAATGAATACCTGTCGCTGGGCGGCTGCAAGAAGCCACTACTGGTCTGATTGACAGGCAGCGTCAGGTGTCCTAAGTGGTGGTTACTTGTTAGCCAAGGAACGAAAACATTGTTCTTCGTTCTACAAAGATAACAGCCATACTTCCCTTCAATCGAAATGTACCATCCTAACATGAAGATCCAACCCAATCAGTACCCGGTTCATCTCTTCTGCCCACTCCTCCAGACCACAACCAGAGAAGAATTGAAGAACTGAACCACCCAACTCAATCCAACTCTCCCCACCTCTAGTCTTCAACCCCCCATCTCTCATCCCCTTCCTAACATCCTCAACTCTCTCCCACATCCCAGCACCTGCATACAGATTCGCCACCATCACCAGATTCCCACTCCTCCTAGGCTCAAGCTCCAGCAGCCGCCTCCTCACCTCCTCCACCAATTCACCATCACTACCACCACAGTTCCTACCACGGCAAGCACCGAGCAGAGTCCTCCAAACTATAGGGTCCCTCCGGCAAGGCATGCTCGAGGCAAACTCATACGCCTCCTTCAAGTAACCTGCACGGGCTAGTATATCCACCATAGCGCCGTAGTGAACTGCAGTGGGTTTGATCCCGTATTTATGTTGCATCTCATGGAAGTAGTTGAACCCTTCTTGGACCAAGCCCGCGTGGCTGCAGGCAGAGAGGACTCCAAGGAAGGTGACATAATTGGGTTGGATCGATGAGGAGGTGGAAGAGATCATTCGACGGAAGAGCAAGAGGGCTTGCTTGGCGAAGCCATGTTGAGCTAGCCCTAAGATCATTGCACTCCAAGTCCAAGCATTTCTCCTTTTCTCCTCCATGGATTCAAAGATAGACATGGCGTAAACCAAGTTCCCTGCTTTTGAGTACATGTCGACGAGGGCTGTGCCCAGCTGGTGAGTCAATCCCATTCCTTGCTCGATCACTTGAGAATGAATCAATTTGCCTAGCCCCAAGTTTCCCACCTCGGCGCAGAGTGAAAGCATGACCACCATCGTCGCCTCATCAGGTTCAAACCCGGAACCTTTCATTTCCCTAAAGTACCAAATTGCATCCTCTGTACTCGAGCACCCAACGCAGGCAGTGATCACAGCATTCCACGACACTACACTCCTCTCGGGCATTTTGTCAAACACCTTGCGAGCACGAGATACCCTTTTGCAGGAGCCATAGAAATGGATCAAATTGTTCCCTACGTAGACATCAGAGCAGTCCAACGCAGATTTCGCGACGTGGGCGTGGACCTGTTCCCCTTCTTTGATCTCCGCCGAGCAAGAAGAGGAAGAAGAAGAAGCGCAGGCGTTGAGAACGAATGGGAAAGTGAGGTTATTGGGGGTGATCCCTCCTCTGAGCATCTGGCGGAAGAGGAGTATGGTTCCTCTAGGGTCGTCGCTGGAGGAATAACCACGAATGAGGAGATTCCAAGCCGCTGGAGGTGGGTTAGCCAATCGGCTGAGGATGGTTCGTGCGTGATTCAGGTTTTTCCGAGAAGAGAGTGAACATACCCGGATTAGTTCCGTCGCTAGAAAGGAGTCGCTCTGGAGTCCGCAGATTTGGATTTGGGCATGGAGCTGATAGAGGTGTTTGATTGAAGAGCAGAGCTTGAGCAGTGCGAGGCATTGATGCTTCTTGGAGAGGAACGTCGAGCTACCAGCGCTGACGACGGCCGAACCGTGCATTTGGCGCTGCCGGACTTTGTTTGAAAATTTACATTAAGCTCCTTATATTTTTTTGCATCTCACGAAATAGTAAATACCTTTAACGGGGCAGGTTTGGGCATGGGCTAAAAGCCTAAAACGAAGGTTCAAGAAGGCGCTAGGCGTAAAGCAGGCGTTGAGATTTTGCCTAGCGCCTAGTTCGTCTAGGCGTAGACTAAGCGTGCCTAGGCGTTGGAAGAAAAATAGTTATTCGCACTACTTGATGAATGAAATAATAATTTACAACACTTCCTCACTTCATTTAAAATGATTAATAACTTACTCAACACTTAATGATAAGAACATAGCTCACTAATTCATAGAATCATAACGTAATAGCTCACAAAGTTCTTGAGCTATTGATATAGTAAATTGATTTCATAGTCGACGTTAATTTCCTCTTTTAATATTAACTTCATAGATCCATCTAGTTATGTTTGTGAGAGTTTTAGATGTTGCCTTACTCCATTGACGTATTCCAGTATCTAACTAGATGCGAAACCCCTAGGCAATGCGTTTTGTCATTGCCTTGCGCCTAGACGTGCCTAAACGTAATGTTAAGTGTGCCTTTTTGAACCATGGCTAAAACTAAACCCGTCCTTGCCCATCATTTTTTTTTTTGCAGGTTTTACTTGTATTTAGTCAATATTTTGTTCGGGTTAATTGCAAGGATGGTCATTGGGTTTACTAAAACCGTTCATGTTTGGTCACTACAAATATTTAATTCCATTCATGGTCACTAAGATTAGTTCAATAGTTCAAGTTTGGTCATTCTCCGTTAGTCTCCGTTAGTTTTTGCTGATGTGGCAGTCAACTATTATAGTTGACCGTTAAATGAGTGACGTGGCCATTAAAAAAATAATAAAATAATAAAATTTAAATATTTACAATTTTCACCTCATTTTACAACTATTAAAAAATAAAAATAAAAATAAAAGATGCGACGAGAAATTACACTGTGAGGGTTTGGGAACCTGAAACGGACATCGGTGCCGGAGACGCGGCTTCTTGCGCCACGAAGCAGCTGCTTGGCCACGGTTCTGTACATTTTTTTTTCCGAGGAGGCTGTGAGGTAAGAGAACTGCCGGAGGTCGGAGGAGGTTAATTTCTGTCGCTTTTCTTCTAGGTTGAAGAACGATTTCCGCCAAAAATAAAAACTAGAACGAATGAATGAATGAACAAGTCTATTTTTATTAAAAAATAAAAATAATACAATTTCGACCGGCCGAAGTAATCGACCTCGTTGGTGAAACCCGGCCCCCATTGGTCGCTCCCGTAGGACAATCGACCGTAATTCACCAAAATAAACCGGTCACCGAGGTCTCCGGCGGTGTAGGACAGCGGATCGACCTGGCGGATTTCGAGCGAGCCGATTACGGGAGGGTCGGTGGCGATACTGTAGAAGCAGACATCCGCCTCCCCGTCCTTGACGAAGGCGAAGAGATCGGAGTAGGCGCCGTCGCGAGCTAGGGATTCGGGCCAGGGGGCGCGCCAGGAGAAGACCAAAGTGCCTTCCACTGAAGCGTCGAAGCTAGGGGAGTGGGACTTGCCGTCGTAGTTGTCGTAGACGGTAAAGGTGCGGAAGTAGTAGCGGCCAGAAGGGAGAGGGAGAATGTAGCAGTTCTTTTTCCCGGAGGAGAGCGGGAAGTAGCGGAGGGTCTTCTCCTGCGGGTGGCGGAAGTGGAGCGGCTCGGAGACGACGGTGGCGGATCCGCCGGTGTAGTAGCGGTCGGCGAGCCAGGTGGTGTTGCCCGAACTTAATCTATAACGCGGTGGTGAAGGGCATTGCCATTTCAAGAGAAAGGATGTCCGGGGCCAGGTCTACCTACTGTCGCCTTCATTACCGAGTCGACCAACTAGAACTAGTTCGATTTGAGACTTCTTGGTAAGTTTTATTTTTATTTTTTAATAGTTGTAAAATGAGGTAGAAATTATAAATATTTTTTTATATTTTTTTAATGGCCACGTCACTCATTTAACGGTCAACTATAATAGTTGACTGCCACGTCAGCAAAAACTAACGGAGAGTGACCAAACTTGAACTACTGAACTAATCTTAGTGACCATGAATGGAATTAAATATTTGCAGTGACCAAACATGAACGGTTTTAGTAAACCCAGTGACCATCCTTGCAATTAACCCTATTTTGTTCCGTTAGAATTTAGGATAGTAGGTGAGTTGGGTAAGTGAGTGAGTAATACTATTAACAAACAAACAAAAAATAATCAGCTTTTTATTGGTGGATACCATGGACACAATATGGTAAAAAAAATTCGTTACGTCAAGTATCAACAATATCGATATTAGTTAGCAATTTCGTTGAGTATCAACCTGACACAAATTTATTTCTTGTTTATTACTGTAATATACCGAATTAACTTATTATCGATCTTATACAATCTTATAACACTGATGCACCATTTTGCAATCTGATACTCTTTATATTATCCGAAACAATCTTATCAGTTATCTATGATTTAACTGATGATCATGCAATCTTATTTGATTTTATCACAGGATAATTGCAGTAATACACGATTTCGCTATTACCCCACTAACCGGTCTATACTCGGAACTTAATGGATTGATCAGGCAGACCACTCAATATTTGCAGCTGGTGGCGAAAAACCCAAGTCTTCGTTCAAAGCAAACGTTATTAATCATCGTACTTATATACCAACGACAAGAAACGACATCACGGGATTCACAAGAAATAACAAGCACAGCTTATCAGACTACCCTTGAATGCAAACTCCACCGGCGCCTTAATAGACGTGAATGTCGACACTAATACCTCCCAATTGATCCCTGCTGATCGAGCAGCTGCTCTTCCTGCTCAGTTGCTCCTCGCCAACAAACTTCTGGTGGTGAGCTCCACAACGGAGCCACATACAGGAGATCCTTGCGAGTACTGCCTGCCCAGCAACCCGTACCCCGTAAACCACACTCAAGTCGGCCCATACCTCGCTCTTCATTGGAGTGGATACAAGCCTTGGGTCATATCCATCGAGATCTGACTCCGTAACAAGAACTACCGAGCTGTCATCGAATTTCACGAGATCCTTTGAGAGGAAGAGATCCAGACTCTGCCTTGGGGCCTTTAATATGAGACTTCTCAAACTGCCGTAGAGGCTGTGGGTATTCATGTGAAGGTGATAGAATTCTTGAACAGCCTGCAATTAGAAGTTTCCAAGATCAAATGGTGCAGACATGGATAATGGGCTTATCTATGTACAAAATAAGTTGGCTTGAAAGCTAAAACGAACACATCCAAAGAAGAGTAAAATGCTAAATGAATACCTGCCGTTGGGCGGGAGCAAGAAGCACCCTTGGTCTGATGGACTTTACATATTTGTAGGCAGCATCAGGTGTCATATGCTTGTGCTGTACCTGCGTGCAGTTAAATAAGAAATTCAGAGAGATGCCAAAACAAGATCTCTAGTTTCTCTCATCTCTCTCGTGCCTTGCTACACAACACTTCTGAAGAGGCAAATGAACTCTCTTCCTTTTTACTGTGCGTCTGTTTTAACCCACTCCGGTGAACCAAAATAATAAGTTGAGTCATTCAGTGTACTAACAAGGTAGCATAACACAACTGTGGTGCTGCGTCCTCGACCAGCTTTACAATGGACATAGGTCGTTTCCCCTCGCATCACATTGTCTACACGATGAGAAAAATATGATTCGTAAACATCTACATCAAACATTTCTCAACTCTGCACATTTATTTTATGACATAGTAAACACAAGATAACAAAACAACTAGATAGATACCGTGAATGAACTCTACAGCCCGGGATATGTCTCGCAAGGAAGGTGCAAAGCAGTAGTCCCTAGTAGGGAGTACTAGATGGTCAATGCCATATTCCTGCAAGAATTTCCATGGATTCAGAAAATAATAATGTGCTTCTGAGTTCCCTAATACAGTTCCCTAATACTGAAAGAGCAATTCCAACAGAGTAATACAACAATTAAATTCCAGCGACATAAAACTGTCTCAAAACATAGGAAATGGGAGCATGGTGGAAATGTAAAGAGATACTCATAGAACCAAACAAATAAAGAAGTACTCACGTAATACAGAGATGTAGGAACCAATGTCTCATATGGCTCGTTCATGGTAACTACTCCCCGAACACCAAGCTCCTTGAGGCACGGAACATCAGTAGGAAATGGAACAGCACCTAACAAAATAAACTGCAGGAGTATGTTTCAGAAACAAGAATGCAATCATCATGAAACTGCATTGATGTAAGCACCAAACTGACACCATCTCAGTTAATGAAAGGAAGACATTCGCACTAGAATCTACCCTAACTAGAAGCATCATACCACCGTATCCTGCCAATGGCGGTATGCAGAATGTAAGCATAATAGTGCACAATCAGAAGGCTATCCACAAGAAACAAAAACTCCAAAAGTTAGCTAGTGATCTGTACACTACTCAGAAAATTATCTCAATAATGCTACAAATAAAATTCATTTCCACTAACCCAAAGCCGAAATAGTTCAGATTTCAATCAATAGTAAGACACATTCACGAGCTACAGATCATACCTCGTCCACCCGATCCCACCACCGGAAGTCAGCCTGACACTTGTTCCTAACGACGTTGTAAAGCAAAGTAGGATAAAACAAAGCCCTGGCGCCCGCTCCGATCAAGACCCGCTTCGAGTCCCAGACGACCAAGTCTCCATCACCACCAATTCGATCCTTCTCCGAAATTCTATCAACTACACCCAACTCGTCTCCCTTCACTTCCTCAATTATCATATTAACACAATCAAATCACCACTTCTTGCCCAAATTCCAGCAACAGAAAACCCTAATCGAAACCAATCAAACCAACTACATATACAGATACACAACTACCTCTTTACAAACTATTCACAGCGATCGACAACTAGAAAGAAGAACGAACACCGTAGGAAATCTTGCACAACAGTCTGAATCCCGATTCCCCGTAGGAACCACAGTGACCATGATACGACGGAGCCAAAGAGGGCGATCGTCGGAGAGTGGCAGAACCACGGCGGCTACGATGGCGGAGAGTGGAGGAAAATTATGCCGAGGGGGAAGGATCTTTCCTACTTTCCGGATGTTGCTGATTTGCGCTACTGGCGGATTGCCTGGATTCTACTCCTTCTTCTTCTTCTGGGCTCTTCTGCTTTTTTTGCGCCTTTTTTTTGGTTCGCAACTCGCAAGTTTCGACGGAAGCCTGTAGGTGGGAGAAGAACGGAAGGTGAAAGGACGGGAAAAGCTAGAATGACGTGTAGGTGCTGGAACGATCACGATCGACGCCTTTACTCCGAGACACGTGGCCCTAATTCATACCCCCGTCTTTCTGCTTCCTCACGTGACGTGACTGGCGGCTCAGTGGCTCACAATTCAATCGGGCCCGCCAACTCTTCAAGTGGGATCTACTTGGGCTTTCTGATGAAATCGGCCCATATCTCGAATTACGCACGGCCCATTTTCAACTATCCAACAACAAATTTTTTGGTGTGCTGCTTCTCCTTTGGAACGAGTAACGACACCTCGTTGCCGCAAAACCCTTCTTCCTTTCCTTGATCTTGTTCCCGCCGGCGCTCTGTAGCAACTAGCAAAATCCGGCGAACGGACAGCGGCAGCAGGAGGACAGCTTGAGTTTCCGGTAAGCTTTACTGCTCTTGTCTTTTCAGCTTTCTCCCACGATAATTTTCGAACTGTTTCTCACCCTTCCTCGCTTCCGCCGTTGATCAGAAAGGGCAACGACCGAGGCGGCGGACAGACTGACGGCGACTCCGTGACTGCGTCCTGAGAAGTGACTAGTCTCCTGGGTAAGCGCTCAACATCTTCATAATTGTACTTGAAGCCCCGTTCTCATGAGTTTGTTCTGCCAATGTCCTGCAAAATTGCTTTTTGATTGACATTCGATGGTTTGTTCTCTCCTTTCATTGTTCACCTCCAAGTTGCAAACTTTGTTATTAAACAACACACTCAGGTGTAGTGATTCTCGACGGGTGTGTTTGAAATTTCCAGTGGGATTGAGTAGCAATGACACCAAACGTGAAGAGGCCTCGCCGGAAATTGGTAGCTAGGCCAGTTACATTCTCCCCATTTGCGCGCTCAGCTGCTCACCTTGCGTCAGCTTACATGATTAAGCGTCAAATGATCGAGAACAAACTCCATGAATCGTGTCAACATACTCCAAGTACAAAATCTCATATTTACCTTGTTAAACTTTTCATTCCCTAATTCATAAAAAAAAAAACTTTTCATTCCCCATGTAGTTATGGTTCTTATCTGCTGCAGCGCTTGTTGTTCTTGTTTCTCAGATGGCAAGTGTTGCGGTCAGAGAAACATCGATGAGACAGACAGCGATTCCGATGAAGAAAGTTCTGAAGTAAGGAAAATGCGAATGCTGGAAATTGTGATTGCTTTGCTCCTTGCTCAGTTGGTATTACGTTATATAATGAGTTTTGATTAAATTTTTGAAGGGGGTTGTGCAAGCGGATTTCGCCTTCTTTGATCCAAAACCAGACGACTTTCATGGAGTGAAGACCTTAGTTCAAACTTTTCTTGATAACGAGGAGTGGAATTTGAGTGGTTTTGTAGATTTGATACTTGAACAGACTACAGTTGGGACAGTGGTTAAACTGGAGGATGAGGACGATGACGGGCTTTTCTCAGTAGTGACAGCCTTAAACTTGGGGAGATACAAGGCAAGTGATATCTATATGCAGCTAGCTCTCGAATTGGTTCCTCTACTCATCAGGAGACTCTTCTGTCGTTCTTACTGTGGTGAATTGTGATAGGAGTTAAGATTCTTAGTCATCTGATTAACTCTTTAACCCCTATCAAGGTCTCTCGTAATGTTGGTTACATCGAGAATGCAGATTCATTGAATAGGGATGATGTAGTAAATTCAATGGTATTACTTGAAAAGGGGATTCTTTGCGGTACTTTCTTGCTCTTATAAGGGATCTTGGTTATGGCAGGACCATAAATGTATGAAGGAGCTAGAGGAGTATATTCTCAGTGTATGCCACGAGAGTAACCTTGTGGAGCAGTTGAGATTACTATTCAGCAAGAGAGCACGGGATGTTGGTCTCTTGGTGTCACAACGAGTGGTTAATCTTCCTCCCCAGCTTTTGCCACCTCTTTATGATGCGCTCTTTGATGAAGTGTCATGGGCTGTAGAAGACGAGGTAGATGAAAATATAAGATTCACAATGCAAAATTTTGTCCAATGCTCTAATAAAATCTATACTTTATTCTTTCAGCCAACAGAGGAGCTTCGGAACTCCTTCCGCTTCAAGACCTATTTGATTGTTACTAAAATTTATAAGGTAACTCCTTGTCAGTTCATCTTGCTTCGTTTACAAGAGGTCTGTATCTTTTCTTATATCTGTACGTGACTTGCAGCATAAGAAAGCAAATGGTAAACTAGAGAAAAAAGCTGATAATGAAGAAGAGCCAGTAATATATGTGAAGGCCGAGGACGAGCTTTTTCATGAGGTTTGTACCTCTTTGTTGTGCAATTTCATGGTTTGTTTCTCAATATTATACTTAAACTTACGATATTGATTGATTCTGATCCCTTGTTTGCCTTTCAGCTGTCTTCATGGTCGTTCAGTTTCCCTCTCAAAATCCAGCATGTGACCTCCAGTGAGGCAAGTATTTATCTCCTTATCTTCAATAATATTCTTTGCCCTAGAACTCTGCCTAGCTTCTCATTCTTCACCCTTATATTCCTATTTGGGACCCTTAGGGCAAACACAAAAGCGCCCGTGACAGTGTAACTTATGCTTTTTTCCTGCTCTCATTAATTGCACTCAGCTTCCTGTTTTCGGATCTTTGAAGACCTTCCGCCGTGTCTTACAATGTGAATCTACTTGTTTCAGCTGAAGAACTACGTATCAATGGGGTTGGTTATGGCAGTCGAAGCAGACAAAATCCCCACATTCCGACAGCAGTTGCGCTCTCTGATCGACGATGAACCCTGAGGTGCTGCAGCAGAGTTTAATCATTGTTTTCATTTTCGACTCAGCTGTATTAGTTTACGGATTCTAGTGGTTTTACTACTTTCTTCCTATCATGAAAGGATTTTGATTTCTGGAATGCAATACCAGAAGTTACTAACCTACTCAGGACTAAAGTTTTGGCCTTTTACTTTCATTTCTCTGGTGGTCTTCTACTCTGCACATTCTCTCCAATTTAACTCCGAAAGCTTTCTGTTCTGGCAATCTCGTCGCGATTGATTCGATAGGTTTCTTTACTAGTTGGTGCAGCCTCATGATTCGAAACTGAACAAGTAGTACCATTTGGAACTGGTTGAATCCTCTTATGTGGCCTTGGCTGCTACCAAGAATTCGAGAGCAGAGAGCCTCGAAAAGCTGGAATGTGATCCATTTCCAGGTTACCATTCGAAGGAAGGCTTCAACTTACGGCCCCTGAAAGGGAAAATGGGCCATTTGGAAAGAGAAAGTGCAAAAGAGAGATACCTTATCGACCTAATTACTTCAGCTAATAAAAAGGTTATCAATCTCAGCCCATCTTATCTGCTTTGGTGTTATGAGCTCCTCACATGGCAGCCTCAGATCATATATGCTCATGTACACATCTGAAATATAGATTGATGCTGGTGACGTGTGAGTCAAGATTGCATAGGATCCATCTGTTCCCCCACTAAGAAAAGAAAACCCTAGTTAATTAGGGCTACACATATTATATGCTCATGAGACAAATTCCAATCGCTAATTATCAAACAAATAAAAAGTCAAAAGGTGGAGGAGGACAAACCTTGGTAAAGCTTTGAAATAGTTGCCACCTATTATTTTGTCCCTTTTACCTTTTGATTCAAATAGATGGCTGAGTAGAACTTGTCTTTACATATTATAGCATGATTTTTTTTCTGTTGAATGCGCCTATTATTTAAACGAATTCATTATTCATATTGTAATTCAAAAATACGTGAATTCGTTAGTACATTATCATTAGGTCAAAAACTCCTTTAAATTATAATTATATTTCCACAGCATAAAACTCGAAGAAAGATAAGAAATATGGCGAAAAGGCTATTGTCCACGGAAGTAGGATTAACTCTTATTAAAATGGTCTAGGTCCATGTATAATTTTGCAAATAGAATACATCCAAGCATCAATTGTTTGATTAATTGTCCTTTTAGTTCTTTGCTTTGTCTATTGTCTTCTCTTCTTTTCATTATTCTTTCTTATTAGTTGGACTAATGGATTTCGGGTTTCCTATCTAAGCAGAAAAATACGATTGATTTGCATGGGGATAAGGGATATTTAGACGACTGTTTAGATGATTAAAGAAATGAACAAATCCCTCAGCTAACTAAATCACATATATGCTACATTCCAATGGAGCGTTAATGGGAGAAAGAATCTATCAAAAGGGTGGCTTGCCAGCTTAGCATGGCAATGGCATTGCGATAGATTCCACTTAGCAGGAGCATCATTAAATACTAATTACCTACCATTTAGGGAAGCAGGGCCAAGTCAGCAGAACAACTAGTAACATTAGAACTAACGCGGGAGGGATTAACGAGAAGGCAGAATCTGAAGGAAAGGTTAGCGTACGCAGTCCAAAAGAAGATTCTCCTCTAACCTCATCCCACCATTCCAGAACCGACCTTACTTTGCCAGTTCTACCCTTAAGCACCATATTGCCACTCCTTCTCTTCTCATTATCAGTTTGAGTGGTCACACTCCTCCGTGGCGGAATTAGAAGATCGGATAAGGATTGTTCTGTCATACAACATAAATGTATAAATGAATATCAGGTTTATTGTATTATCTATAAAAATAAAACTACTCATATTAACGTACAAATCTAGTTTCTGAATCTAATATATCCAAATATGCGGAGATTAAGAATTTAAACCCAATTTTAGTGATGTCAAATAGTAGTATAGTACTGCACACTTGTTTAATACCAACTAAATCTCATATTATTCGTGATTATTTGTTTTTTATTTTTTTTATCATTTCTCACTGTTTTACTAAATTCTTTTTAGTTTTTACATAATTCGTAACAAATATAGCAAAGTTATAAGCGACCACATAGAAATGAAGTTTGCTAAGAAGAATATTTTATTGCTACAGGATGATGATCTTTTATAGTCTTCTATTTTTTTCACATAGGGTGATTTTGATGCTAGATTTCAGAAATGAGACAATTTGATTCAATTATATTGAAATTACTTCATCCAATAATTGATGCATCATTTTAAAATATTTTCCGTTCCTTCCTGTCACTTTAAATCGATGAAAAATAAAAAAATTCAAATTACTTCAGTACAATTGTTACATCCCTATTTTATATTAACAAACGGGTTGATTTAAACCAATTACTTCATCTAGAAACACTTAACCCAAATTACCTCAAACAAAGTCTTGTTACACTGTATAATCAACTAGACAGAGCCTTCTTAGGACATATATAAGTCATGTATTCCGAATGATCTTTGGATGTAATTAAAGAATAAAGGGTTAGTGGGAGAGTCTACAAAGAAAAAGAGGTAAAAAATTAACCCCATTCCAATGCAGACCTTTGAAATGAAATACCATTCCCTCCTATGCTCTGCTTTCCCTTTTCTGTTTCTACTTTGTTCTATACTCTGTACTTTTCCTTAATTCTTAAGTCTCTCCTTCCCCTCCTCCTCATCCTTCTTCTTCTTCTTCTTCGCATTCCTTCTCCAAATTCCGAAACAGAGGAATAAAATCCACAATTTTGAGCTCCAAGAGGAAACCTTAATCTTAGCTCTCTGCTAGCTTCTCCAATGGCGGATTACTACACAAACTACTACTACAACAACAACAACAACAACGCTGCGGTAAAGCAACAGAAACAAAACAGAGTCTACTCACATTTCTTTTACAAGGCCGTGATCGTCTCCATCTTCATGTTCATCCTGCCTCTCCTCCCTTCCCAGGCCCCGGAATTCCTCACCCACACCCTCGACACTCGCGGCTGGGAGTTCCTCCACCTCGTCTTCGTCGGCATCGCCGTCTCCTACGGCCTTTTCAGCCGCCGACGCAACGACGACGACGACGCCTATTGCAACGCCGATCGGAAAGAAACCGCCAGCTCTAATAACAACAAGTTCGACGTCGCGCAATCCTACGTCTCCAGGTTCCTCCCGGTATCGTCGGTCTTCGACGACGACGTGATCGGCGGCGGCGACGGTGCGGAGACGGCCAGCAGAGTGCAGACGTGGAGCAGCCGGTACTTGCGGAACGAGCCTGTTGTCGTCGTCGCCGATGACGACGAAGGAGAAGGAGAAGAACGGAGCAAGTTGATTCGGGGCGAGAAGCCGCTGCTCCTGCCGATTAGGAGCTTGAAATCGGCGGAATCGGACGGCGGTTATGTGGCTAGGTCTTCTCCCGCGGGGAATTCGAAGAGGTTTTCGGGAGCTAATAAGGTCGTTGATCGAAGCGAGGTGGAATTCGGAGACGAATCGAAGGCTAGCGTCGTGCTTCCTTCTCCAATTCCTTGGAGATCCAGATCTGGAAAATTCGAATTCAAAAAATCCTCCCCGGATCTGACGGTTGCAGTTGCTTCTACTCCTCCACCCCCGCCGCCGCCTCCTCCACCAGCTCCGCCAGCGACGGTTTCCAGATCGACGAAGCGGTCCAATTCTCCTGCTGCGGGATCTGATTCTCCGATTTTCTCCGAGGTACAAGCCAAGAGTGCGGAGGATTTCGTCAGGAAGAGAACCGTCTACCGCTCTCCTCCTCCACCGCCTCCACCTCCACCGCGGCCGTCCGCGGTGAGGAAATCAACCTCGATGAGACCGGCCTCCGCCACCGCTGATTACGGACGGGATTCTCCTGTCAAGCAACTGAATCGAAGCTTCACAAACGAAATGAAGACAATCAGAAACGAAGAACTGCACGCGGCGGCGAGCAATTTCATTGATCAGCCGAATTTCTCGGAGTTTCCGGCGGCGGCGGAGAACGAACGGGTGGAGAAGCTGGTGATGGAGGACGAGGATTCGTCGGAGACGGAGTACGAGGAAGAGGAGAATGACAAGGTGGCTTTGCCGGGTGGTGGTGATAGTGGAAACGACGACGGGGGAGGAGGAGGTGGCGCTGGAGGGCCGCCGGACGTGGATAAGAAAGCCGACGAGTTCATAGCGAAATTCAGGGAGCAGATTCGGCTTCAGAGAATAGAGTCGATCAAGAGATGCAGCGCCGCTTCTCAGGTCAGGAAAATTCGTTCTTCCAGGTGATCCGTAGATAGATATATAATTAAAAAAGACGTCCCAGTGGCGGGAAAATTGGGAATTGACTCTCTCTTTGTTTTGATTTATATGGATGATGATTAATGTAACATACCAAGTTTCTGTTTAAGCTTGCATGTGTATGTATCTATACTCAAATACACAATGGGAGGTTTAACCCTTGTGATATGGGAAATCAAAGGCTCTGAATTGGAGAAAGATTACTTTACTGTCTTCAGCCTTCCATTTTTCCTCTTTTAGTCTTCTAGGTATTCAACGAGAAGCTTCCCTAATAACAATGGAATTTTGTTGATTTGAATGCATAGGTTTTTTTATATGGTGTTTGTACGAGAGTATGTGACGTATAAGATTTCGTAATAAAATATTTTAAATTTTGCCTTCTTCAATAATGAAGTTGATAAGAACCAATGACATGAAATGATCAGCATAATCAGAATTAGCAAATTATATCTCATCCGCCAAAATAATGTTGGCTATTGAAGATATCAATTACTCAATATGTCCAGTGAAACTGGAATGTATTGTGGAATGCATAATTATATGCTTAACTCTCGTTCATTGGACTCGACAAGTGTATAGATTTTGTGTAAACATACCTAGTTCGGTTCGGAACTGTTAGGAGAGCGACTATACTTGTTTCTTGAGACTTCATAAATGTAACGAATGTAAGGAGATATAGCACCGGTGAGTGCAAAGAGTTTACAATAGTGTGTAGGTATATGTAATCTAGGTTTAGGACAATTAGTGGTTGTTGAGGCCTAAAAGGCCTTTTCCTTTTGGACTTGATTTCCCTTCTCTCCCTCCTCATGCTACACATGTGTTGTTGAGGCCTTTTGGAGATGAAGAAGTTTGGAAGGTTATAAAAAGAAGCAAGGGAGACCATGCTCCTGGTCCAGATGGTTTTCCCTTGGGATTCTTTAAGAAATATTGGGCCATTGTTAAGTTGGATATTTTGGATGCTTTGAATGAGTTTGCTACTACTGGGGTTCTTCCAAAGAGTGTTAACCACACTTTCTTGTGTTTGATCCCCAAAAAAGAAGTGGTTGGTGATGTTAAAGATCTCAGACCCATAAGTTTGGTTTCTAGCCTCTACAAAATCCTTTCCAAGGTGCTCATGGAAAGATTGAGAGCATTTATGGGTGGTTTGATCGCAGTGGAGCAATGTGCTTTTGTAAGGGGCCGTCAAATCCTTGATGCTGTTTTAATTGCAAATGAGCTTATTGACTCAAGGAAACGTGGTGGAAGACCTGGGCTAGTTTTCAAATTAGACATTGAGAAAGCTTATGATCATGTGAATTGGGAGTGCATCCTTTCTGTTCTCAAAGGCATGGATTTCCCTAACTTATGGCTCACTTGGATTAGAGGTTGCATCTCATCAGCTTCTTTCTCTGTTTTGGTGAATGGTGAAGCTTCTGGTTTCTTTTCAAGTGAGAGAGGGCTTAGACAAGGGGACTCCCTCTCTCCTTTCCTTTTCATTATGGTGATGGAGGTCTTATCGGGTATCCTAAAAAAGATGCAACTCCATGGTTTAGTGGAAGGCTTCTTTATGAATGAGGGTCTAAAAAGTGGTGAGGTCACTCATATTCTATATGCAGATGACACCCTTCTTTTTTGTGATGCTTCTGAAGTTCAAGTTCAATATCTCCTCGCAGCTCTAGCCCTTTTTGAAACCATCTCGGGTCTTCGCGTGAATTTACACAAGAGTTCCATGATGGTTGTGGGGGAGGTGGAAGATCCTTCTCACTTTGCTAACATTTTTGGATGTGAGACGGTTTCCTTGCCGACGAATTATCTGGGGCTTCCTTTGGGATCTAGAATGGCTTCTTTAGCAGCTTGGGAACCAATGATTGAAAAGGTCCAAAATCGTTTAGCCACTTGGAAGGCTAGGATGCTCTCATTTGGGGGGAGACTTGTTTTGTTAAAAAGCGTCCTTGCAAATCTTCCCATATACTTCCTATCTCTTTTTAAGGCCCCTGCATCAGTGATTGCAAGGTTGGAGAAAATTTATAATGATTTCCTGTGGTCTGGTGTCTTGAATACTAAGAGATTGCATTGGGTTCGATGGGATTTGGTGAAAACCCCTATGGTGAGGGGAGGTTTGGGAGTCTTGGATCTCAGGAGTGTTAACCGATCTCTTTTAGGAAAATGGGCTTGGAGATTTGGGGTGGAGAGAGATGCTTGGTGGAGGAAAATGATTGTGGCAAAATGTGGAATAGGTTCTTCAGAATGGAAACCTTGTTGGAACTTGGGATCATATGGTTGCTCTTTGTGGCGTACTATTGTCAACGAAAGCTCGTACTTTTGGAGAGTTGCTTATGTCGATCCTGGGGGGGGGGGGTTATGGAGTGTCCTTTTGGCATGATGTGTGGATTCCTGGGAAACACTTGGTGAGAGAGTTCCCAAGGGTTGGGTTCGCTGCCCAATCCTTGGATGCTTTTGTTTCTGACTTGGTTTCTTTGGATGACAGGTCTGTTTGGGAGATCCCCCTTACAATTTCACTAAGAGGCGGGGCTGAAGCTGAACGAGTTCGTTTGATGCATTTGTTGTCTTCACTCCCACATAGTTGGACTTGTGCCGGTCCAGCTCATTTGGTTTGGCCCTTGGAGAGATCATCGATTTTCTCTGTGCATTCCTTCACACAGCACCTCATTGATGATTCGTTTGAAGGTGACAACTCCTTCCCCTACAAGCTCATATGGATTTCTTCCATCCCTTCGAAGATTTGCTGCTTTCTTTGGATGACCTCATTATCAAAAATTGCCACCATTGACAACTTGAGAAGAAGAGGAATGATCATTACTAATTGGTGTTCCTTGTGTAAATGCAACGAGGAGTCGATTTCACATCTTATGTTTACATGCCCATTCTCGAGGATAATTTGGGAATTCTTCACGAGAGCTTTAGAGCTGCATGGTCCTTTCCCCGCTCAGGTTCGGTCTTTTCTCCATGCTTGGAGAGGATTGAGGTGTGATCCGAAGTTCACAGATTGCCTTAAAGTCTTGCCACATGCAGTGTGTTGGTCACTCTGGAGCGAAAGAAACAATAGGATTTTTAGAGATATTGAAATTTCCCCCATAAACTTGTGTCACAAGATCATCCAAGTGGTTGGTAGGTGGCTTCGAGCATTTAAAATTCTTTCAGACGCCCACTTACAACAATGGGTAAGGATTGGGGATGGTTGATGGTGGTTCTTTGGTTTGGATTTGTTTCTTTGTTTTACCTCAATGTGTAGGTGCTTTTTGGGGCACTGAGGTTCAAGGGAATTCTCTTTGCTTTTGTTTCTCTTTCAGTTAGTGTTAGTTTTCTGTCACCAGTCTGGAAGTTTCCATACTGGTTCTTGTTTTTTCTTTTTGAGTTTTGGTATTGTTTTGCCAAACTTTTTTTCTTTTTCATCTCAAATTTTTTCTTCTTGCTTGTAAATGTGTTCGTCTTTTGAGTTGTTTTTTCTTGTTTTCCCTTAGTAATAAAATTCATCATTCATCAAAAAAAAAGACAATTAGTGGTTGTGCCATTTAAATCGTTGTTTAGAGGTTAAAAAAATGCACCAGTCAGTTGTATTGCTGCAAGATAGAGAGATTATTTTGTTCCTATACGATATAGGCGGAAGCATATGCTATTCTTAGTGCAGCTTCTGTAGCGGCTCAGGAGACTGTTCTAGGAATCACTGTTCTTCTAGCCTTGACAATGTCAAGCAATTTTGGACGAACAAGGGATTGGTCTAGTGGCAATACCACTTGCTTTGATCCTGGAAGTCTCAGGTTCAATTCTCTTTAGTAGCACCTAATAATAAAAAGTAATTTATATCACTCTTATAAAAAAAAAATGTGGTGCAATTTTGGCGCGTATCGTTCCCATTCTCCATGCTGCTCCTTGGATCTCTGTTGTATTTGTGCCACGACAATTCAACTCATTGGCAGATTGGTTTGCGCGAAATGCTCGTATGAAAAACCTTCCCGAAGAATGGCTGCGACTTCTTTTACTTGGGTCTTGGGCTACTGTGAGATCCAACAATCCCTTCTTGGACTGCCAAGTCCTAGGCCTTGGCTTGTGGGCCTATACCTGAAACTCGTTCTTACCCCTAGGCCCTAGGGGTCGGGGGTGTTCAAACGATGTGATTATCGTGGTAACCGTTTTAACAAGTAGTCTTTGGTTAATTTGATTTGATTAACTTTGATAATTGGTTTGGTTTGGTTAAAAATTTTAGCTTGTTTGGTTTAAGTGGTTTGGTTTGATTTCAGACATTGCTAACCAATCAAACCAAATTAACCAGTTAAATAATTAATCATATATCTAATTCTATATTATATACACATACTTAATGCTTTATATAACCACTCAAGAGCCAAACATTCCTACCTTTAGTCTCATCAACAATAAAGCTCAAATATTATTCATATATTGTATATTTGTATTTGTACAGTGTAGACCATGGTATATGAACACCCAGTTTATATAAAACTCATACAATATATTAGATGAAAACATGAAAGAAATGTCTTGTCAACCTATGATAATTGCCAAGAGACTAATGCAATTCATACAATCACAACAATTAATTAACTCCATATATACTATTGACATATATTTTTGTTAGATAAATACTTCTATTGACAATAAGAAAATTGTATTAGTTGCATGTATTACTATAAATTGTGAATTTGATAACTATAACTATGTGTTCATTGTAATGTTTTACTCATCATATAAATTGTGAATTGATGCATTAACCAAAAATTTCCTCACTCAATGGTAATGTGATGTTATTTTGGTTAATCTGGTTAACCAATTAACCAAACCGATCTAACTTTAATTTGGTTAATTTGGTTGTTGTATTAGTTTGAACGGGTTGATTATGATATTGTATTCTATGGTTAATAAAAAATTTACTTATTTGATTTGATAATTACCATGATAACCATTTGAACACCCCTATTTACCCACTATCTTTTTCAATTCCACCAGCAAAATTCATTATAAATCCTACATTT